ACTGAACTGAACTGAACTCCACAATAAAGGTGCCCGTGGCTGTAGACCTTCGTGGTGAGGTGACCAAGTTGGTCTGGTTTTGTCAGGCCAGGTTATGTCCTTGCTTCTTGATACTGAGGCAGGAGACTGTCCTCTATGCGGATGACTGAACTTATCCCACTGACCTGGTCTCACAAGCAGAAATAAACCATGAGTTCGTCACTTCACAATTCTGTTCCTGAAGTGCCTGTTCTCGACACTGTAAGGAAGAATCTGCCGCATTTCTTCACACTAAAAATGAAATATCAAGCTTTGCGCAGTGGCAGTATCATAGCCAATGAGGTTTATCCGAGGTGCGATTATTGCTAATTGAAAAAAAAAATAAAAATGAAATATCAGAAAGAGAAAGTTTAAAGAAAAATCCCACTTAAGATTGCATAGGGATTTCCCTGGTCATCCAGTGATTAAGACTTCACGCTTCCACTGCTGGGGGTGCAGGTTTGATCCCTGGTTGGGGAACTAGGATCCCATATGCCAAGTGGCACAGCCAAAAAAATTAATAAATAAAATAAATTTTTTAAAAAATCACAGTAAAGAAACCCCTAAGAATAAGCTTAACCAAGAAGGTGAAAGACGTGTACTCTGAAAACTATAAAATATTGATGAAGGAAATTTCTCTGATGGTTCAGAGAAATGGAAAAATATCTCCTGCCCTTGGATAGGAAGAAGCAGCCCCCCATCCCACTGCACCCCAAGGCAACCACTGCTCATTTGCTGTCTGTGTCATTTTGCCTTTTCCAAAACGTTCTCCTGTAGTTGGAGTCACACAGCATGTAGTCTTTTCAGACAGGCTCCTTTCAGTTAGCAGTCCTCACTTTAAGGCTTCTGTCTGTGGCTTGATAGCTGGTTTTTTAAGATCACTGGAAAACGTGCCCTTGTGTTCATCACCACAGTCCTGTTTATCCATTCATCTATCAAAGGACATCTTGGTGGATTCTCATTTTTGGCAATTATAAATAAAGTTGCTATATATATTTGTGCCCAGATTTTTGTGTGGATATGTTTTCAACTCATCTGAGTAAAAATCAGGAGCATGATTACTGGATTATATGGTGAGCCTATTCTAGCTTTACAAGAAATTACCAAACTGTCTCCCATAGTGGTTGTACCAGTTTGCATTTCCACCAGCAATAAATGAGAACACCTCTTAATCTTTTTGTAAATAATTAATTTATATGCTTTTCTCTTGTTAATCTTTTTTAATATTTGTTTTTATTTATTTATTTGGCTGCACCAGCTCTTAGTTGCAGCATGCAGGATCTTCAATCTTTGCTGTAGAGTGCAGGATCTTTGGTTGTGGTGTGCGAACTCTTAGTTGCCACATGTGGGATCTAGTTCCCTGACCAGGGATTGAACCCAGGCCCTTGCACTGGAACCATGGAGTCTTAGGCACTGGACCACCAGGGAAGTCCCTTAATCTTCTTCCTCTCCAGTATTTGGTGTTTTGATTTTAGCCATTCTAACAAGTGTATTGTGATAATTCACTGTTGCTTTAATATACAGTTCCCTCATGTTTTTTCATATGCTAATCTTCCATCTGCATGTGTTCTTTGGTGAGATCTATTTTTGAAATTTTGGGGTTTTTTGGTTATAGTGTTTTGTTTTAGCATTGTCACTATATATAATTTTTAAGCATTTAAAAAATTGAAATACAGTTGATGTACAACATTACATATGTACAGTATATACAGTATTACATATCATGGGTATACACTAAAGTGATTCACAATTTTTAAAAGTTAGACTCCAGTTATAGTTATTATAAAATATTGTCTCTGTTCCCTTATTATTAATATATCCTTGTAGCTTATTTTATACCTAATAGTTCCTACCTCTTAATTCTCTACCTCTACATTGCCCCTCCCTCTCCCCACTGGTAACCACCAGTATGTTCTCTAAATGAGATCAATTTTTTTTAACTTTAAAAATCATTGTGGGGAGCAGCAGTAGACCCACCCCTATTTTGCCACCGACCACAGACAGATGAGATACCCGCAGAGGAGCTGTTTTCCACTCAGCTGCAGACACCCAGCAGGGCAGACTCTGAGACAAACTAGCAACACTGAAAACCTCCGAAGGAAGGCTCCAATTAAGGTAGGTACTAACAAACATCCTTGGGAAAGAAAGACGGAAGAAGCAAGGAGAGTTTTATGTCCTTGGGGGAGAGGCCGGGATTTCAGAAATCTGGCACAAGAGGTGACTCTTCTCTTTGCATATCCCCAGTGTTTACAAACCCCACTTATGTCTCAGGGCCTGTCCATAGTGGTCTGGTGGAGAAAAGCAAGCCATGCCATTTTTCTATGCAGGATGCTAGGAGGGTGTCAAAGCTCCTCCAAGAGTGGGAAGGTGGATGGCAGAAGATTCCACCTATCCCCAGGCATCTGGGGAGGAATCTGTCCTTACGCTGTGTGCATTGCGTCTATGACGGGAAGGCACGTAGGTATTGTTCTCAAGGAACAAAGCTGGCAAGCAGATTTCATCCCTGACTAGATGCTAACTTAAATGACCACAGGCATATCCCACCAAACCCTGAAAAGCCTTCTTGGCCTCCTTCTCACAAATGGAAAAGCCTCCTTTTCAGTTTGAAAAGCAAGTCCAAGTTTACCCTGCTACAAAGTAATCTAGAACTTGGAAGTCAGATGGTCTAGATTCTAAAAGATTGTAGCTTTTTTACTTCTTTTTTTTTTTTTTTAAACCCACAATGAAGTACAGAAAAGAACAAGGATTTGGAGAAGACAGATGTGGTTTTTGAGTCCTGGCTCCATTGCCTCACCCTTTGTGTAACTTCAGGTGCTGGACAAAAGCTGAGATTCAGGTATGATTGTAACTCCAGAAAGAGAAAGGAGAGGTTAGTGCCTGCTTCTCAGGGATGCAAGAGGAGTAAATGAGGTGATGCATGCAAAATTCTTGGTGCACTGTGATAAATGTAGGGCTCGCTAATACTCTCCACAGATTTTAATGATGAAGGAACATGGTGGGGAGTGTGGAGTGGATAGGAAGGATCTAGGGAAGAAAATGAGTTGAAGACTTCCTCTTATCCCAGGATATTAGGAGAGCAGAACAGAAGGACCATGAACGGAAAATTGTTTTTTAAAGTGACTGTAAAAGACAAGTGGGGAGGAAGATGTAGGAGGGGAGACTCCTGTTTTGAAAGATGCTGGCCACATAAAAAAGAGACCCACCTCCATACTTCAGAAACTGTCTTGAAATCTATTTTGTGTAAATACTTAAGTGAAATTAATATCTTTTAAAATGGCTAACTTGCTTCGCATTTCAAATTATAGAAATGTGGCATGGTGGAGAGGGATGTCTGAGTGTCCAATAATCAAATGCCTTGGAAAAATCGTAAGTCTAGATCAAAATTGCCTTGAATGTCAATATCAGTTTGAGGAGAAAGATCATGTTTTAAATGTTGAATCTTCCCTTCACTTTGGTTATCTCTGTTGCAGAAGGAAGGAAAGGAGGGAAAGGAAAAGAATCAAAAGCAAATATGGCAATATGCTGGCAGTTGCTAATTCTGAGAGGTAGAACTATAGGTATTTAAGTTTTCTTGGCAAATTTTGGCTTTTCTTATCCCACCAAATCCCTCTGTATTAGTTAGCCTGGGCAGTTTTCAACTTTTTAAAATGCAAATAGGCTTTACTTTCCAGAGAAGTTTTAAGTTTATAGAACGCTTGCGTAGAAAAGGCAGAGAGGTCCCATGGTGGAGGCAGTGGTGGTGGTTTAGTCACTAAGTCTTGTTTGACTCTTTGCGACCCCATGGACTATATAGCCCACCAGGCTCCTCTGTCTATGGGATTTCCCAGGCAAGAATACTGGAGTTGCCATTTCCTTCTCCAGGGGATCTTCCTGACCCAGGGATTGAACCCAGGTCACCTGCATTGCAGGCAGATACTTTACCAACTGAGCCACGGGGGAAGCCCCAGAGAGGTTCCATATAGCCCCTGTATTATTATTCTATTTAAGCTGCCATCACAAAATGCCAGGTGGCTTAAATGACAGGAGCTTATTTTCTCACAGTTCTGGGGCTAGAAGTCCAAGAGCAAGATGCTGACAAATTGGATTTCTACTGAGAGCCTCTAGGGTTGCCTTCACACTTCATTGTTGTCTTACAAGGACACCAGTCCAGTTGGACATAGGGCCCCATCTGATGATCTCCTTTAACCTAAGTTACCTCCTTAATGACCTGTCTTCAAATTTAGTGACACCGGGGGTGTCTGGAACAGTTTGGGCTCCAATAAACAGAATGCCATAGACTGGGTGGCTGACAAACAACAAAATTTATTTACACACTTCTAGAGTCTGGGAAGTGCAAGATCAAGGTACCCAAGCAGTCAGGTTCTAGTGAGAACCCTCTTCCAGGTTGCAAACTGCCAAATTCTCACTGTATCCTCACACACTCTAGAGCAGAGAGAGGAAGCAAGCTCTCCTGTGCTTCTCATAAGGGCATTCACCCCATTTATGAGGGTTCCACCCTCATGCGGGTGTGTGTGCTAAGTCGCTTCAGTCGTGTCTGACTCTTTTTGACCTTATGGGCTGTAGCTCGCCAGGCTCCTCTGTCCAAGGGATTCTCCAAGCAAGAATACTGGAGTAGGTTGCCATGCCCTCCTCCAGGGGATCTTCCCGACCCAGGGATAGAACCTGTGTCTCTTACATCTACCTGTATCAGCCAACAGGTTCTTTACACTGGCACCACCTGGGAAGCCCTCCACCCTCCTGACCTCACCTAATTCGATCACTTTCCAAAGACTCCACCTCCTGATACCATCACAATAGGGGTAAGGTTTCAACACACAAATTTTGGAAGGACACATTTAGTCCATAACAGGCCTTTAGGGCTTCAACATATGAACTTGGTGGGGAGGTGTGGGGCACAGTTCAGTCTGTGTTTTTAAATACAAAATATCGCTAAGAAAGGAATGTCTCTTAGGTGCCTCTGTGGCTGGCCTCCTCCTGCCTTGATGGATTACACACCTGAGCCCAATTTGACAACAGTAACTGACTTCTACTATCCTGATATCTACTCGAGCCCCTGCGATGGGGAGGGGAGAGACAGCAAGCTGCTTCTTGCCGTCTTCTACTGCATCCTGTTTGTATTTGGTCTTCTGGGCAACAGCCTGGTCATCCTAGTCATTGTCGCCTGCAAGAAACTGAGGAGCATCACGGACGTATACCTCTTGAACCTGGCCCTGTCTGACCTGCTTTTTGTCTTCTCCTTCCCCTTTCAGACCCACTATCAGCTGGACCAGTGGGTATTTGGGACCATCATGTGCAAGGTGGTCTCTGGTTTTTATTACATCAGCTTCTTCAGCAGCATGTTCTTTATAACCCTCATGAGTGTGGACAGGTACCTGGCAGTTGTCCATGCTGTGTATGCCTTGAAAGTGAGGACGATCCGCATGGGCACAGCCCTGAGTCTGGTGGTGTGGCTAACTGCCCTCGTGGCCACTAGCCCGTTACTAGTATTTTACCAAGTGGCCTCCGAAAATGGCATCCTACAGTGTTACACGTATTACAATCAGCAGACGCTGAAGTGGAAGATCTTCATCCACTTTGAAGTGAATATCTTAGGCCTGCTGATCCCGTTCAGCATCCTGATGTTCTGCTATATCAACATCCTGCACCAGCTGAAGGGCTGCCAGAACCACAACAAGACCAAGGCCATCAAGCTCGTGCTCATAGTGGTGGTTGCCTCCCTACTCTTCTGGGTCCCTTTCAACATGGTCCTCTTCCTCACTTCCCTGCATGACATGCACGTCTTGGATGGATGTGTCATGAACCAGCAGCTGATCTACGCCACGCATGTCACAGAAACCATTTCCTTCACCCACTGCTGTGTGAACCCTATTATCTATGCGTTCATGGGTGAGAAGTTCAAGAAACACTTATCAGAACTATTTCGGAAAAGTTGCAGCCACATCTTCATCTACGTAGGGAGACAGGTCTCTAGGGAGGCCTTGGAAAAATCATCCTCGAATCAGCACTCCACTCGCTCCTCCACCATAGACTACATTCTGTGAGTCTGTGCAGGGCAGAGCATCCCTCTGCCTCCATCACCCACCTTCTTGAAACAGAAACGATTCACGCTGGAGTTGGAGGCTACATTGAAGGGAGACTCCTAGAAAGCTAGCTACAGACACAAGACTTCTTTCATGGTATTCAGTGAATTACTATTATTGCAAGTCAACCCTGTCAACTTTCAAAGACTTTGTCACTATTTTCTGAAAATAGTCTATATGTTTCACTGTGTTAGCTATAGGGATTCTGCCCCCCACCCCCCAGGTTTTGGAGTATCTTTATCAAACACCAGCTTAAATTTTGTCAAATGCTTACTCCTTATCTACTGAGGTGATCATGTAGCTTTCCTCCATTATTCTGTTAATTTCATGAACTATATTGATAGATTTTCTTATTTTAAATCAACCCGTTTTCCCTAGAAAAAATGACCTCATGTTTATGATCATTTTAACAATAAAGCATTGGATTCTCTTGGGATTTTTGTATCTGTGTTCATGAGAGATACTGACCTGCAACACTTGTGATGTGGGAAGTGCCTCGGATCTTGAACCACGCTGGCCTTGCTCAGGACATTGCAAGGGTCACCTTGGATTTCCTGTCCTAGACCCTGCTCCTCACTTACAAGCTGGCCTGAGGTAGCATCTCTGCATGTCAAGGCAGACACGTGTAAGACAAAGTTGAAGATGGTGATGATGATGCTTTCTGTCTTGCCTGCTCCATAGACCTACCCGATGTCCCACCTATAGCCTATAAACATCTTTGTACACATAAAAGTTTAATTATTATTACTATAATAAAAATGCACAGCATGTAACATTTTACTAGCTGTGCAGTTTTGGGCGGTGTACTTTAACTGTTCTGTGCTTCAGTGTCTTTATATGTAAATGCAGATATTAATAGCAATAATGCATACCTCTGATATCTGTGGGATGGTTATGCAAGGTTATGAAGCTGCGTTCTAACGCCACCTACCGTTCACTCACTGGGAGTAACAAGAGTCCCCTAAAGCAGGGTGGAAGGAATGGGAGCTCATTCCTGCGTGTATTTGGTGTGTGTGTGTGTGTGGTATGTTAAGAATGTGTCAAGGAAAAGCTGAAAAACTGTTCCAGATTAAAGGAGGCTAAAGACATAACAATTAACTGAAATAAATTATCTTAAATTGGATTCTGGGTTGGTGGAGGGGGAATGCTCTGAAAGACAGTTTGGGGATGATTGGTGAACTTTTAATTTGGGCTGTTTATGAGATAACATTAAGTATTAAAATTGAGAAAACAGAGAAACAGGTAGGACAGCAGCTGGGGGTAGAAAGTGCAATAATTAATGTTACTTGTTAACTACCTACTTAGGACATAAACCCCATGAGGTCATCGACTTCATCTGTTTTATTCACTCCTGTGCCCCCAGAGTCTGGAACAGTTCCTGGCACATAGTATGTGCCTAATTAACATTTGTCAGATGAATAAATGAACTGGCCTCTGAAATAAGACACGGTTAAGAACCAGGGTGAGGTATCAAAGCCATCTGCCCTTACACGCAGAGACTGAGGTTATCCACTCTGGCTCCTGGTTATCATTTTTCCATCCGGGTGAACCTGTCCTGCAAAAAATTCTGATTGACTCAGTTGTTCCAGGCACACAGCCAAAAATACATCTGGCAACTCCCCATATCAAATGCATGTGTAACTTACTAACCCACAATTGCCTAACGTCCTTTCTAGTTCCGCTCCGCACTGCTTGGCCTGATGCAGGAGAGGGATGTGGGATGGCCTGGCCCTCAGAGGACCCACACAGGCTCTGATTGGCTGAGTCCGAGCCTCAGGTCTGTGCTCAACTACCAGGAGGAAGGCTTGCCTTTGGAAGAAGGTTCAGTTGGCCCGTCTCGGTTGGACATCATGCTGCAGAGAGGTCTCAGGTGTCTGGCGAGGCACCGACAGGCAGCACGCCTTCTCCCAGCCCTGGCTGGCCAGCCCCGGATGCTCTGGTCAGCCTGGATGCCAGCCCCACTCATCACCGTGAGTACCCATGTTGCATCCAGATGCGGGCCGCTGTGAGTGTGGTCAGAGTCTCAGAGGGAGGGGGCTACCAGGGACCTTAGACTCCTGTGACAGATGAGAACTCGGAGCCAGGACTCCTGATGTCTAGAAGATGCTCATGCCACTTGGCCGTTTCATCCTGTATGGAGGGGTGGACCCTCAGCCTGGGACTTAGTGACAGTACCTGGAGGCTCCTCCAGTCTTCCTGACCCTGCTGAACCTTTCCCATACGGTTAAGTGGGGTTGCCGAGCCCCAGAGTGAGCAAGTGAGCAGAATCAGGGAAAGAGAATCTGATTAGTGGCGACTCAAGGGAAAGCAGTGATTACTGTTTCACATAACATTTTCTGGACAAAAAAAGAGGTGTAACTAAAAGAAAATTGTGGGTAACAGTCAAGATGATGGAGTGGGAGGACAAGGAGTTCGTGTCTGCTCATAAGTAGGAGCACCTACTAGGCGCTGGTGGGGGTCCCTGGACACCTAAGCAGATGAGCGGAATCCCCACACGACGAGGTAGGACGCGGAAGGACAGGAGGAAAGGAAGGAAAGTGGAGGCGGGATGGCCCTCATGGGGGCTGGGATAGGGAAGAGGTTCCCATGCTTAGATGGGGCCTACTCATAGCGAGGGGATCAGCAGAACAGAATGGGACCTTCGGGAGACTGGAGGATCATCAGAAAATGTGACCAGCTTCTTCCCTGCCCACTTGGGCCCCAGAAAGTCTGCTGTGGTCACAGGTCTGAACCCCCACCCCTCAGGGTCCCCTCTGGCCTCCTGGGTCTTGGGTTTGATTCCCGCCCCCTGACTCCCCAAGGTCACTTCTGGCTGCATGGGTCCCGGGCCTGAATCCTCCCCCACCCCAAGTTTTCTTTCAGCTGTGCTGGCCCTGTAGGAGCGGACACAGTCAGCTACCTTTTGAACTTCCCAGGCCTCAAGAAGTCACCTCCATTCCGATTCAAAGGATTATTCCTTCCCGAACTCCGGCTGGAGCCCCATCATGGTGAGGCTGTACAATGAACTCATGGAGAAGACTGTGGATGGGACGTGGACACGACTTCCCGGTTACTGTCACTCTTGGCAGTTCCTTAAAGAGGGAGACCTAGCTAGGATCGCTAAAGTTGTCCCTGGTACGTTCACACCCCTGTATTAGGAGCGCTTCACCTGGGCTGGAGGGGGCCTCTGGAGAGTGCAGGACTGTGGGCAAAACTTTTCTGCTGTGTGTGCATTTTCCTCAGGGAGCTCCATGTTCCAGCCCAGTTCCCACACCTCCTGCGTGGCCGGCATTAGCCTGAGAGTCAGGTATGAGGCAGTCTGGACATGGTGATCCTAGATTCATACACTGTCAGGCTAGAAAAGGGACGTGGAGGCCGTCTGGTTCAACCTGCTCATTTTACAAGCGAGAACACTGAGGGCTAGAGAGGCAACAAAGCGAGTTTTTGGCAGAGACTGGACTGGAGTCAGGGATTCCTGGCTCCCGGGTCACTGCCCTCTCCACCCCTGTCTGCGGTCACCCCTGGCGTCTCCTTCCACCTGCCAGCCCCACCATCTCCTGTAGACCAGACGGGTGCAATGTCAGTGAGGAATTGGGAAGAGGCAGTGCCTGGGATTAAGGGCCAGTGCCTTTACCCTGGTACACCCAGTTTGGGCAGCTCAGTGATGCTACAGGGGGCAGCATCTTATTGAAATCCAGGGCCAGGAGCCAGAATCTGCTGGGGAAAGAACGCGCGCTCCCTCTAGTGGTCAGCTGAGCTGAGCTCTTGAACGAGTCAGTGAAGGACATCGGATGGAAAACAGATGAAGAGATGCGTTTGAAAGACAGGAGGGGAAAAAAAAAAAAAAAGAAAGACAGGAGGAGCCAGCCGGAAGACTTTTATTTATAGTTTATAATTATATGCTATGTTTGTAGTATATAATTTTGTATACCTAAGCTGTCATTCAGAATTCTGCTTTGAGGGGAATTCCCTGGTGGCCCAGTGACTGGGACTTTGCCTTTTCACTGCCGAAGGCATGGGTTCAACCCCTGGTCGGGGAACTAAGAGTTCATAAGCCATGCTGCCAAAAAAAAAAAAAAAGAAAGAAAGAAAAGGAATTCTGGTTTGAGATTCTTGGCAAAATGAAGGTGTTTGATAAAGTATTGGATGTGCTGTGTTAGTCGCTCAGTTGTGTCTGACTCTTTGCAAACCCATGATCTGTATAGCCTGCCAGGCTTCTCTGTCCAAGGAATTCTCCAGGCAAGAATACTGGAGCAGATTGCCATTCCCTTCTCCAGAGGATCTTCTGGACCCACGGATCGAACCCTGGTCTCCTGCATCGCAGGCAGATTCTTTACCCTTTGAACTTCAGGGAAGTCCTTAAGTTTTGGATATTGGAAGCTTAACCTCTAATTAGGGCCTCTAAATTATCCCCATTTCCCTCAGAAGTCATACAGTATAAACAAATCTCACTGAAAGTTCAGGCCTGTGGCAGTGAGAGGAGACACATACACATGTTCTACAAAAAGGACTGTGGCCTGCTTACGCCTAGATCTGCCACAATCGATGCATTCGGATTAGCGTTTGTTATTCAGCTGATGGGAACAGTGGTGTTCTGAATTCACAGGCAGTTGGCTCCTCACTGCCCCTCACACTGCTGACCTCATCCTCCCCTTGGAGGCTGCTCTTCTCCGTCAGAAGTTTATGGAACCATGCCCGGGGTGGTGTGCCCAGGGGAAGCTGAGGGTGGTGGCTTTCCTGGGACATCCTCTGGTTGGGTGCTTTCAGCCCTGGAGACCACACCACCCTGAGGATCAGACTCCTGCCTGAGGTCTTTCTTATTGAATCCACTCTTCTTTCCAGTTCAAAAGGTAGAAGACGCCCGCCTCTTTCTCCGGATCACAGAGATGGAGAGACTCGGCTTTGAGTATGTCGTCTTCCACAATGATTCCGAGAAGAAGTGCGTCTGCTTGTTCCAGCCTGGGCCCCTCCTGGAGGGGCTGCCTGGGTGAGGCACGCAGGCTTGTCCCAGCCAGCAGCTCAAATGGCCTTTATCTTGGTCCAAGAGCAGGTGGTGGGTGAAAACCCAGTTGTGGGTCCCTGGTTGCCTTCAGCAGGTTCTTGGTTGGTGGGTGGTAGGTTAGTCACTAAGTTGTGTCCGACTCTTGCAACCCCATAGACAGTAGTCTGCCAGGCTGCTCTGTCCATGGGGTTTTCCAGGCAAGAATACTGGAGTGGATTGCCATTTCCTTCTCCAGGGGATCTTCCTGACCCAGGGATCAAACCTGGGTCTCCTGCATTGGCAGGTGGATTCTTTACCAAGTGAGCCACCAGGAAAGTCCCAGGTTCTTGGTTACCACAGACTTATTCTACTGGCTCCCTGGGCAGCGAGGCTCTGCCAGTCCCTCAATGATCCACTCAAGGTGTGGCCTCTCCCTTAACCTCCTAAATGGCAGTGCAGTAAGCAGTGGAAGTTAGAAATGAGAAGGGGGGAACTACTTTTGTTTAGCGCTAGTATATGTCAGACCCTTTAGATGAAGCTTTGGCTGTATTAATGTAATACTCACAAAAGTTCCTAGGAGATATTCCTCTCCTACAGATAAAAGACGCAGATGGCCCAGTGGTTCTGTGACTGAGGTCACATGGCTAGAAATGTGAGATTTAGAGTTAGGGCTCTCTGCCTGTAAAGCCCATGCTGTTTTCACTGTACCACTCTAGTTCCCCTGACCCCAGCCCAGAAGGGAATACAAGCTTCATCCGAATTTGTGGTTGGGGCTGGTGGAGGGGGGGGGGGGCTTCTCCTGCTTTTAGTTCGTTCTCTTCTAAGCTGGTGTGACTCACTTCAGACAGCAGTGTTTGCTTCCCCTGCACCTCTCTGCGCTCACGTCTCTGCTCTGAACGAATTGATAGAAAGATCTGGTCCTGGATTGCAGGGAACCCTTCAGCACGTTGCCTCACTGGAAATTGGCCATGCGGAGTGGAATCCCGGTGACTCTTCCCTTCCCTTTCCCCCCTCTGGCCCTGCAGCATTATCCATGGTGGCGCGCTGGGGACCATGATAGACACCACGCTGTTCATGACGGCGTACTGCAGTGCCAATGCAGTCTTTACCGGGACCATGACCATCACCTTCAAGAGGTCTGTCTCCTTCCCTGGGTTCCAGTTAGGAGTAAGCTGACATGAGCTTATTCCAGGTGTTATGATGGAAGATAAGAGCTCACGTAGTAATCCTGCGTACAAAGAGGAGCTTCTACTTTTGTTTTTCTCATGGACCAGCTTAAACTTGTTAGATGTTCCCTTTTCATCCAAGTTCAAGGTGATAAGCTTGAACATGGGTTATGTGTTCCAACATAAAAACACACTACACAGGACAATGATGAACTACTTTTGGCCACCTCTGATTTAAAGAAAGCCAACCCATGTGCCTGTATGTATTTAACTCAGTCCACAAATAATTATTGGGCTGCTACTGAAATGAGAATTCCTGATACGTGATTAATTTGTTGTTAAACTCGCACGCATTGTTTTGTCCGATCTTTACTATAATCCTGGGAGGTTGGTACCATTATCTCCAACTTGACAAATGAGGAACCTGAAACAAAGACACAGCTAGCAGGTGACAAACACAAAGGCCCTGACATCTTGGCCCTTGGAGTAGAAGCCCAGGACCCCGACTCTGGTAGACTCCAACCCCTGCAGGGTCCTCCCCCACCTTTCTCAGAGACCAGGCTACCAGCCACTCACTCCCACTGCCCCTCTCCTAGCCCGATCACCCTCGGCTCAGTGGTGAGGCTGGAGGCAAACATCACTGGCATGGAAGGAAGAAAGGTGTTTCTCTCTTGTGAAGCCCAAAGCAGCGACAGGACCATCCTCTTTGCCGAAGCTTCTGGTAAGGCCATGAGAATTCTTTTTTCCTGCTGTTGGTACCCACCCATGTGACCAGGCACAGAGGGTGGCTTTCCCCACTGCTGGGGGCAGCAGCTGCCCTGGGTGTGTTTGGGGTTGGATGGGATGCTCACATGGAGAGGAGCCTCTATAAGTTATAGGATAGAGGCCATCATAACACGCCCACTCACCTCCCTGGGAGACTACCGGTCAGAAAGGGGCTCATGAAGATGGAGGGGAGGGGCTGTGGCTGCAGAATGTGCATGGTATCTCCCCTCCTGGTCCCCTCCTGGCCTCCAAAAGGCAAAAGCAGGCTCATTGCTTTGGCAACAATAGAGGGAATTTAGATATTTCCAGAAGCAGCTCTGGCTCCAGGCAGACAGGAAAGGTCTCCTTGAACTGGCTTTTCCCAAAAGCAAAACCTGAGAGCCACTCATCTCTGTGTTTTTCACCATTCCAGCTATCTTCCTCCAAATGAAGTGACACAGGTGCAAGGCACCAGAAGGTTCCTCTCCTGGCCTGGAAGTCAGGAAACCAGAACTTCCTTTGGAGCAGTCTGTCTGTCCCACCCATTTCCAGCTGCCAGTGTTTCCTCCAGCCCTTCCTCTTTGGTTGGTGGAAACTCCTCCTGCTGTCAGATCTTGTTATGAATAAACTTTGTAAAGGGAGGTCATGTATCCAAATGGACATATGTATATTTCTTTTTGCATAGAGATGTCTATGGTCAGTGGGATGGGAAAGCATCATGTGACATTAACACCCAACTCAGAAAACAGAAAAAGGGCCAGATTGGGTTTGAGGGACCCAATGTGTAACTGCAGAAGGGAGTAAGGTCATAGAAGCAAAATCATGTTCCACCAGCTACAGCTAAGTCAAGGGAGCCTTGCCCGATGTTAATTAATGATCTTGGTTTGAACTGAAGTCACACACAATGTTTTCACCAGGTATTTTTCCTTTTCTTTTTTTCTGCTTGCTTTTTCCTTTCATTTTTTAATTCACTCCTCTAAATTCTACCATGAAGTACTGCCCTAAAACCTTCACTCATCTGCTGATGGGTAATACTCCTTTTACATGATCTTATATATCTCTGCACCCTCTCAGATGTTGGGGGAGGATTGAGGAGGTGGGGGGACTTTGGGCTCCAGAGTTGTGAGTGTAGCAGGAACAGATACACAGGAGGAAAACCCAGGCAGGCACCAACCACCCTTAAAAACCATCCCATTTTATCTGAGCCCAGAGCCAAGCCAATACCTGCTGAGGGTGGGGCAGTGGGCAGCAGGCCTTCATTCTGGGTCCCACCTCTATCCCCTTCTCAGAGTGGCCAAGAATAGCCTCTAAAACACACCAATAGATTATTTCTCATGAGTAGGAATTCTTGCCCCACGAGGACAGAAAAGTAGGTCTTCCTTTAAAGACAAGTTTCAGCCTAGTTCAGCATTGCTCAAGGAAAACGAGCCTTGCAGCTTAGAACAAGAGATGGCAGAGTATACAGCAGTCACCCTGCAGGCTTGCCTGTGTATTTTTTATATTTGCTCTTTGCTTAATCCCCTCTGATGATAAAAAGCCCACACTTTCTTGCCCGTTCCTTGTGCTTCAGAAGTACAGGAATTTAAGCTTTAAAAAAACAGCATCTTGCTCCCTGAATCATCAGTTTCTTTTCTGACCTAGATTTCCTGAGTGAAGAATGGATGGTGGGAAGTAATGAAGGCTGCCACTATGAAAAGTCTGGGCTTTATTCTGCAGATAATCAGGACTCCTGAAGATGTGTGCCTGCCTTTTCCAAAGAGTGTCAGGATTCTAGCAGTAATAGTTTCCCACCCATCAGCCAGATAGGAATAATGGGAAGTTGAGAGACCAAAATGAAGGTTATTGATAGGGTCCAGATAACAGGTAAGAACCATAATCTTAACCATCTAGACCAGTGCTGTCCAATAGAAAAGTAGTTCAAGCCCCAAGTATAATTTTTTTTTTAAATTGAAGTATAGTTGATCTACAATATTGTGTTAATTTCTGCTGTGCACCAAAGTGACTCAGTTATACACACACACACACACACACATATATATTCTTTTCCATTATGATTTATCACAGGATAACAAGTGTAATCTTAAGTATTCTAGTAGCCATATTAAAAAAGCAAAAGAGGTAAAATTAATTTTAGTAATTATTTCACCTAATTAACACATCCGAAGAAATCATTTCAACAGGTAAAAATGAAAAAATTGTTTATGAAATTATTTTATCTTACTGCCATGTCAGAAATACGGTGTGTGGATGACTTACAGCACATTTCTGACATCAAGCTTTCAGCATTTTTTAAAGGGAAATGTGGAAATGCCAAAACAATAAAGTCATGTTTAACGGAAAAATATTCCACATGGCTTCAGTTTTTAATACAAATGAATTACAGCTAAATCAAGTTTAAAATTCTGGCCTTCACTCACACGAGCCACTTCTCGAGTGCTCAGTGGCCCCAGCTGGCTACTGGCTACCGCACTGGTCAGAGTTAAGTCTGGACTGTAACTAGTACAGACGTGGCACCCGAAAGCATCCAGCGCTGCAGACGTCCCTTAAAGCTCCGGGCGCAGGGAAACCGCCGAACCTGCAGTCCCGGATGTTCCCACCAGGTGGCACTAGGAAGCACATCCTCCTCCGCGCGCGAAGCGCATCCAACCCCGGAAGCTAAATTCCGGCATTCTAGCTAGTTCTTCCGGCTTTCTTCATCTCTAGTGCACCCTACTATCCTCAAGTCCTGAAGCCCGTGGCTGGGCAGGATGGACCGGGTAGCAGAGCCGAAAAGTCCGCGGCTCAAGTGAAAAGCGGCGCTCGGAGCCACCCACTGGCGGTGGACGCGCAGGTCCCGGCCGGCGTAGAATAGGCCCTGACGTAGAAAGCGTCGCCCGGCTACCGCCGTCGCGTCGTCTTCCTCCGGGATCGCCAGGGCCCGGCCTGCGCTCCTACCAACGGCATCCGGGGCCCAGTGCATTCACAGGCCTCCCCTCCAATGATTCAAAAGTCACGCCCGGCGCTGCTGCAGCACCAAGATGTCGGAGACAGGGTGGAAACGCTTATGGTAAACTGCAGGGAAGGGAAGGCAGGGATTCCGGCGTCGCAGGCTCGGGGAGGGGAATTCGGAGAGTTGCCGAGGGTCAGCTGCCCTCGGGGGTTCGTTTTCTGCACCGGGGGTGCGCGCAAAACGGGTTGGGGACTTGGCGCAGAGGTGGAGTTTGACTAAGGGATTAAAAGGAGGGTAGGGAGGAAGGAGAGGAGTGTTAGAGCAACTCTTGGACCGGCAAGGAAAGGTCTCATTTCTGTGTTAGTATCTGGACAGAGGTAGGAGGGATTGCTGCGGCCTTGGGGGCCGTCAGCGGAATGTTCTCCCACGGCAGGGAACGAGGTGTGAGCGCTATGGGAAGTTGCTTTGAGTTGTTTCCCTAGATTGAAAGGTGAGAGGGCACCTGGGTAGATATTTGGACCGTTGCAAAGCCCGGCAATGAAGCTAAGCCTGAAGTGCCATCCGTGCTCAAGCAAGGTGGATTCGGATCACTCAGAGCCGACGGGCTGGGTTAGAGGGACTCGCTGGGAAACCGCTGTGGTTTGCGGGCGCCACGGGGCCAAGCCCCCGCATCTGGATTGGCTGCCGTGGTCGTCCGCGGGCCTGCTATTGGTGGAGGCGGGGCTGGGAAGGCGGGCAGAGGAGGACTGTCTGGCAAAGTCGCTGCTGGAGGTGCGTGGAGGCGGGGATGCGGCTTCCTTTAGTTCGCGAGGGCCAGTGGCTTTCTCCTGAGTCGAAGGTTACGGTCCACCTGCGGCAGGCGCTGTGCGGGGTTGTGGGTACTGTTTTTATTGGTGGTTTTTTGTTTGTTTTTGTTTATAATCTTAAAGGCGGGGTCGGGGGCCGCTTTAAGATTACATCTTTAATCACGTGCTTACCGATGTCTTTCTGGGTCCTCCGGCTCTGGCCTGGAGATCTGATTTAATTTTTTGGGATTTAGTTTTTTCAAGGGAAGTGGGAGTTGCTTGTGGAACTTGTTTGCCAACTGTTCAAGTGCTGTTTATTGCCTTTATGTATCTTTGTATTGTTTGGTTGTTATCAGTATTTACTTTGAATAAATTTGAGCTACTTAGAAAGAAAGAAGCCAAGTGTTAAAGAATGTGCCATCCACTATTGATAATATCTTTCAAAAAGAGAAGTGTAAATTCTGTTTTTTAAAAACAATTTTGTTGCCTGTTTTTTAACTCGAGGTTAATCAATACTGCTGTTATATATTTAGCATCTGCTCTATGCTAATAGACCTGGAAAGTTACAGTTAAAAAGGTTATGGGCTCTATGGATGTATTCAACAAATATTTATTGAGTCAGTAAAATGTCTAAGCACTGTGCTCTGAGATAAGTTCTTGTAGTGGAGGACAGTGTGTTGTGGGAGAGGGGAGGGGTACCTGTGAGTGTGCTCAGTCCTGTCCAACTCTTTGCTACCCCATGGACTGTAGCCTGCCAGGCTCCTCTGTCCATGGAATTCTCCAGGCAAGAACACTGGAGTGGATTGCCATTTCCTCCTCCAGGGGTTCTTCCCGACCCAGGGATTGAACCGAGTCTCCTGTATCTCCTGCATTGGCAGACAGATTATTTACCACTGAGCCACCTGGGAATCCCAGAGGGGAGGGGTAGTTCCATACAATACCAGTGAGAACACTGGGGAAGCAGCTCCAAAGAGAACTGCTTAGAAGTGGTAACTGCAGGTCAGTCCTACAGCCTTACTGGAGCAAAGGGCTGAAGGGTGCCTGGGGCGATCCCGCTGCCCAGGGATAGGGCCTGCAGGGCCCACTAAGCTTTATCCTGTGGGATTGTGGTCAAGGGAGAGCCACGTGTAGATTTCCTCTTAGATGACGTGATTTCCTTCATTCTTGACTATTGAGCACCTGATGCAGACCAGGTTCTGCAATCAGTCCTGGGGGAACCACCATGGGTTTGAACATCTAGCTCATAAGAGCGCTGTGAGATTTCGAGGTGGTGTATATGGATGCCTCACCCCAGGCTGCTCAGTGGGTTTGGCACTGCTGAGGCTGGAGACTCACAGGGAGGTTACTTGGATCAGCATAAGGCAGGCTGTGGGAGGAAAGAGGGGTCAGCGGCAGGAGTTGGTCGTGAAATGGTAGGTAGACCAAGGAGTCTTCCTCGTCTCCTGAAGGTCCTGCTGGAACATCTCAGTGTGGACTGAAGGAGAGGCAGGCATGTGAAGAACCGTGGACTGAGTTTCCATTTGGGGATGTTGAGTTTGAGATGTCTGCAGGCCATCTGAGGGGAGATACGGGGAGTGAGGGCTGAATTGGGCTGGAGATGTGGGCGTTGCCGGCATGCATGTTTGGAGCGAGGTGTGGTGTGGGGATAAGGGTGCCCTGAGAGGCAGCAGCTACAGGGAGATAAGAGGAACAGCAACATCTGTGAGCTGGGGAAAGGAGGCCCAGAGGAAGAGTGAGAAGCCAGAGGGGCAGCCATCAGCAGGTGTTCCAAATGCACCGGAGAGGCCACGTAAGAGAAGGGCGTGGGAAAGGGGTCCTGGGCTGCTCAGGTCCTCAGTGAGGCAGCTTCAGTGGAGGGGCTTTAGCTGGATGGCAAACTGTGGGGACGTGAGGGGTGACTGGTGAAGAGGGAGTGGAGATGACGTGGCCTCAGCCTGGAAAGATGGGGGCTTTCAAGCTTGTTCCAGGCAAAGGAGTCAGCGGAAGTAAGAGGCTGAGTGTGCAGGCAGGAGGCCTTCATTGAGAGCACAAAGTCTTGGATGAGCCTGAGAAACAAAACTCGTGGGAGCGCAGTTAGCAGGAGGAGCGGGCCGCCGCGTGCGTACACACACCTGATGAAGCGCCCATTTGACTTGGCTGTACTTACGGTCTGACCTTTGTTTAGAAAGCTATTTGAGTGTGGCTGTAAGCTCCAGTATTTATTATCTGAACTTAGACCTTTTAAGGAATTCCAGTTATAAGTTGATAACTGCTGGTTTGGTGGAACATGGAATTACCTCTTTTCTCTGTGAAACAAATACCGCAGATTACAAACGTTTTGGTTCTAGGTAGGTAGTTATGTACCGTGTGTAACAAGCAACTTCATCTTAATAGCATTTTAGGATGACACTATTACAAAATAATAGTGCAAATGCCATTTAATGAGAGAGAAGATCTTTGGATGGAGTTTGCCCAGTGTCTCCTATTGAAGAGACTTTTCTCTCCTGCTTGGATTTTTGAAAGTGTGTTTGCACAATCATTTGAGTATGTCTGGATTCCAGGGCATGCTGTGAGGCCCTGGAGTGCGCTTGAGGAAAGTGCAGTTAGTCTGCCAGACAGTCCTGCCCTTCTGAATGCTGCCTGTAGATTAGCCAGTGTGCGTGACTCTCCCAGAACTGTGAAATTCCAGATGTTCAAGCTGGATTTAGAACAGGCAGAGGACCCAGAGATCAAATTGCCAACATCCGTTGGCTCATCGAAAAAGCAAGGGAGTTCCAGAAAAACATCTACTTCTGCTTTATTGACTATGCCAAAGCCTTTGACTGTGTGGATCACAACAAACTGTGGAAAATTCTTAAAGAGATGGGAATACCATTAGACCACCTTACCTGCCTCCTGCATATATATACAGGTCAGGAAGCAACAGTTAGAACTGGACATGGAACAACAGACTGGTTCCAAATTCAGAAAGGAGTACGTCAAGACTGTATATTGTCACCCTGCTTATTTAACTTATATGCAGAGTACATCATGTGAAATGCCAGGCTGGATGAAGCACAAGCTGGAATCAAGATTGCTGGGAGAAATATCAATAACCTCAGATATGCAGATAACACCACCCTTATGGCAGAAAGTGAAGAAGAACCAAAGAGCCTCTTGATGAAAGTTAAAGAGGAGACTGAAAAACCTGGCTTAAAACTCAGCATTCAAAAAAAGTGAAGATCATGGCATCCAGTTCCATCACTTCATGGCAAATAGATGGGGAAAAATGGAAACAGTGATGCTTTCTCCTTGGAAGAAAAGCTATGACCAACCTAGACAGCATATTAAAAAGCAGAGACATTACTTTGCCAACAAAGTTCCCTCTAGTCAAAGCTATAGTTTTTCCAGTAGTCGTGTATGGATGGGAGAGTTGGACTATAAAGAAAGCTGAGGGAAGAATTGATGCTTTTGAACTGTGGTGTTGGAGAAGACTCTTGAGAATCCCTTAGACTGTAAGAAGATCCAACCAATCCATCCTAAAGGAAATCAGTCTTGAATATTCATTTGGAGGGACTGATGGTGAAAGTGAAGCCCCAATATTTTGACCACCTGATGCAAAGAGCTGACTCATTGGAAAAGCCCCTGATGCTGGGAAAGGTTGAGAGCAGGAGGAGAAGGGGACAACAGAGGATGAGATGGTTGGATAGCATCACCGACTCAATGGACATGGGTTTGAGCACGCTCTGAGAATTGGTGATGGACAGGGAAGCCTGGCATGCTGCAGTCCATGGGTTCGCAAAGAGTCGGACAGGACTGAGCGACTGAGCTGAGCTGTGACTCTCCCAGTATGTAGGACCGCCGGCAAACCCAGGAGTGTGGCCTGGGCTGCCGGCCTGTGGTGCCCCTGCGGTCTGCTTCGGTCCCAGTGAGGTGAATGGGTGTACTCAGAGGGAAAGTTTTAAATTAAGGAAATGCATGACTTTTACAGGAAGTGGCACATACAGCTCACAGTGCATGAGCTCACTTAGGGTTTCACTTCCTTTGTCTTACTTCTGTAAATAATCCACCGGTCCTACCACCCCGGGAACCTGAAACCAGTAGTCCAGGGTTAAAACACGCTGCTCAGTTGATTTTTCTTTCGTCACAAGAATTGGCCAATAACTTATGTTCAGGACAAATTAGGGAGGTGTGGTCATTGGCATAATTCACAGATGGAAATAGCCATGTTGCTCAGTAGGAGAGAAGTTATCTATAATTTTTTTATACTTTATTAATGTTTGGTTATGCTGGTCTTTGTTGCTGCACTTGGGCCTTTTCTCTAGTTGCAGCAAGCGGAGGCTTCTCATTGCCATGGGTTCTCTCCTTGCAGAGCCCAGACTCTAGGGCGCTTGGGCTTCAGTAGTTTCGGCACACGGGCTCAGTAGTTGGTTCCCGGGCTCTAGAGCACAGACTCAACAGTTGCGGTGCATGGGATTAGTTGCTCCTAGGGATGTGGGATCTTCCCAGATCAGGGATTGAACGCATGTCTCCTCCATTGGCAGGCAGATTCTTTACCACTGAGCCACCAGGGAAGCCCTATCCATAAGTTTTTAAATTATCAGTGATCACTAAAGTTATCAGTAAGACGTGAGAGCTACTTCTTGGAGCATACAGTGTTCTCAACCACATTCTAACAGTGTTCATCCCTGACTACATTTTGCCCTTCTCTGAAGTCAGAAGCTATTAATAATACAGGGCATCGCCAGGTGAGTTGCTAAGAAATCCTTAGGAAGAACTGACTGGTCCAGGTGTGGTGAATGGTGGGACAGAGCTGATGACACCATGTTCTCTTGCCCTGCAGTTGCAGCCAGTGATCAAAGCTTTCTTGTGTGGCTCCATCAGTGGGACCTGCTCTACCCTCCTCTTCCAACCCCTGGATCTCCTCAAAACCCGCCTGCAGACCCTCCAACCCTCAGCCCATGGGTAAGGCCTGCTGCCCACACCCCCACCCCCGTTTCACTCAGGAACTGGTTTCAGCGACTTCTCTCAGACACGGGAGCATCTCTACTGTGTTCAGGCAGCTTCCATTCTGTGGGATGATCAAAGAGAAACGCAGGCCAGGCCCAGCTTTCCTGCGTTTCGTGTATACTCTTGGGTTTGACTTTCTCTTAATTAAATGGGGTCCTTCGCTCAGCTGCTTCCTGGCATCTGCCTTGGTGACATTTGCATTTTACTGTGCCCGTCTGTAATGTCATGACTGTGCTGCCTGGGGCAAACACGGGCTGGTTTTCTGGAAATAAGGGAAGTATTGAGTGTCCCTTGTGAGCCCCCTTATTGGGCTCAGCACTGTGGGAAGTGTGTGAAGTGTATGAAAAATGGGTAGTTATCCCATTGCTTGCAGCGTGAATGAACAAAGACTCATGGACCTGCCACGCTGTGAGTGCATAGGGCTCAGAGTCACTCCCGGATGCCTAGCAGAGATCCTGAGGTGTTGTAGAAGAGGCCACACAGAAAAGTGTCTGAGCGGGCAGTCAGTGATGCTCCCTGCCTTGCCTCTGTCTCGTCTGCCTTCAGGTCCAGACGTGTTGGGATGTTGGCCCTGCTCCGGAGTGTGGTTCGCACGGAGAGTCTGCTGGGCCTCTGGAAAGGGATGTCTCCCGTAAGCTCCCCTTCTCCTCACCGGCTGTTTCTCATCCACCTCACGCATCCTCGCTTTTAAGAGTGCACGAGGGCTGGAGACTGGGCAGGCCTCTGTGGTCTCCCTGCCCGTCGCTCTCCCTGGCTTCCGCTTGAGGGCCCTGCGGGGCATCACTCCCGTGTGCCCCGGGCACGGCTGCTTAGCAGCATCAAGTCCCACAGCAGAGGCAGCGGGCGCCCCGCCCTCAGCAGGCCCCCCCATTTCCCCATCCCCCCACAGCTGCCTTTCCCTCCCTGGAAGACTTTTTCTGGCCTTCAGAAGTCATTTTGCTGGACAAGCCAGGGAATTCATGCCCACCCCAACCTCAAAGCAGCTCGTAAGCAGTGAAAGACGAGACCTGATGTTTCGAAGCCCCCTTCCCTCCTCAGGTGGCGGGGTACCCGAGGCGCGTCCACGCTGATTCCCAGAGTTCCCCGGCGGGATTCCATTGCCCATGGTGAAAGCTGATGGGACGGCATGCCCTTTATTGGCCACCTTCTCTCCCATCTCATGTCCCTACTCTCCCATTGGTGTTCCCTCCACACCTTAAATCAACTCCTCGCATGCAAATCCCGGGTCTTCTTTGGGGAAATACACCCGTGGTGCTCTGACCCCTTCCCTCCCTCCGACTCTTCCTGCAGTCCATCGTGAGGTGTGTCCCTGGCGTTGGCATCTACTTTGGCACGCTGTACTCTCTGAAGCAGTACTTCCTGCGGGGCCACCCCCCCACCGCCCTGGAGTCGGTCATCCTGGGGGTGGGCTCCCGCTCCGTTGCCGGGGTCTGCATGTCACCCATCACTGTGATCAAGACACGGTACGAGGTGAGTCGGACAGCCTCGGGGACTGGGAGAGGGCAGAGAGAGGCACTGGGCTCTTGGGTCAAGCGGCCACTGCTGCCACCTCCTGATGTGCAACCCGGCCCTGAGGTCAGTGAGCTCGGAGAACCGTCTGGGTAGCCAGGCCAAGCGTGGGAACCGGAGCCCCCAGGGCCCCGGCCGAGCAGCCTGAGGACGGCGCGGCGCAGTGCGCAGCCGCAGGGCCACGAGGCAGCCGTGGGCTCTGCGCTTCCTTCGCAGAGTGGGCGATACGGCTACGAGAGCATCTACGCCGCCTTGAGGAGCATCTATCACAGCGAGGGGTTCCGGGGCCTCTTCAGTGGCCTGACAGCAACACTCCTTCGTGACGCCCCCTTTTCCGGAATCTACCTGATGTTTTACAGCCAGACCAAGAATGTTGTGCTTCACGGTACGGGTAAGGGAAGGTGTGGTGGGAAGAGAGATCCCTCAAGGGGTCACATCCTCACCGCTTTCTCAGAGATAGGAGACTATTTGTTGTTCTGATAGTATGTAATTCCTGATTCAGGGGTGGGGGTGGAATAAACCTCCTTCTGCGTAGGCCTTGCAGCAATACTTCCCACGTTGGCCTGATATTCAGATTTCTGGGTCCTACCTAAGGAGTTTTAAATCAGAAGCTTTGGGGTGAGAACTGGGGAACTGTATTTTTCAAGAAGCGCTTATGATTCCTAACAGACAAATTTGGGAAAGCTAGTGGGTTCAGAGCTGGAAGAAAAATTTTATTTTCACTTACCTGCTATGCCCTCAGTTAACGATGAGAGCCCTCTGTTTGGATGGAGAGAAGGCTGCCAAACCTCCCACATTCTAGCAGGTCCACCCTACCAGTAAGCTCATGTTGCAAGACTTGGGCAAAATCAACAACCAGTAAATGTCCACCCAGGCGGAGCACACACTGATAGAAACACATCCTGCAGAGTGAAGCAGCGTTTGGTCAGGTGGCTGTGGATAATCTGAGCACGGAATTACAACCAAGGCCATTTAGTTGGGAAAGCCAGAATGCTGCCCTCATGACCATGTCAGTTTAGGAGATTTGCTGCTTCGCCCCAAGTACCAGGAGTTGTGACATTGCAGATCACAGCCTTACTTTGCAGTAGAAAGTTAAGGCAATAAGGGAGCTTGGATATATTGTTTTAACTTCTTCATTCATCCTAAATTTTTTTTTTAATTTGCTATTTAGAAATCATTCTACACTTAACAAAAAAGTTACAAGAATAATACATATAACTCCATAGCCCTGAATTATTCTCTTTCTATATGTATAATTATTTTCTCCAAAGCATTTAAGAGTAAGTTGCAGGCATGATGCAACTCTTTACCCTTAAATACATCACTGTGTATTTCCTGAGAATAAAAGCATTCTTAATGACCATCTTTTATTTAGGAAATTTTACACAGATACAGTTCTTGTATCTATAGTCCAATCTATAGTCTTTATTTCTCCAATTTTCCCAATAATATATTTTGTGGCCATTTTTATTTTTTATTTTCAAGTGTATAAGCCAATTATATTACCTCAGCCTGGGTTTATCTGATGATTCCTTGCAACTAGATTCATTCTTACTCTACCTTTTCAGCAAGAGAAGCATGTAACAGGTTGTGTCTTCATTGTGTGATGTAGGGAAGCTCATGTCACTTTTTGACCCGCTGTGGGTGATATTAACTCTTTATCACATGGATAAAAAGAATGTCTCCAGTGAATTCAGTTGTTTTTTTGTAATTTCTAAGTATCTCTGCAGGGCGATATTTTGAATCTGTGTAAAACGTCCTGTTATTTCATCCGTATATTTTAGCGTCAGTCAGTTACTCTTGCCTGAATCACTTATTATGCTGATGGTTATAAAAAGGTGAACTTTTAGTTCCATTTTTCTGTTTACATTGATTAGTTTAGATTTTGAATTCCTAGCTTTGTTTGAATATCCAGACCCTTCTGGCTTTCAGAGAGAATTAGTGGCAACTTGGCACTGATATTTATCTGATAGATATGAGATTTATTTATAACTGAAGGTTGCCTTTGTTCTCTTTCAGACCAGTTGGATGCAGTCCTTGTTCCCGTTGTGAATTTCAGCTGTGGAATATTTGCTGGGATTCTGGCCTCGCTGGTAACTCAACCTGCCGATGTGATCAAAACTCACATGCAGCTCTCCCCAATGAAATTTCGGTGGATTGGCCAGGCGGTTATGCTCATTTTCAAAGTAAGGCTTTAGGGAATTCCCCAGTAGTCCTGTTATTAGGACTCCGTGCTTTTACTGCAGGGGACATTGGTTCGATCCCTGGTCAGTGAACTAAGATCTACCATGCCTTCTGGCACAACCAAAAAAAAAAAATAGTAAGGCTTTAGAATACATATTGGTTCGTATTGTGGTTAAAGCTCTCTTTCTCTCTAAGGCAGTAGCTCTGTCCTTTACATGGTAGAATCACCTGGGGAGCTTTTAAAAATCACCATTCCCAGAGCATAACCTGAGCTCATCATATTAGAGTCTCTGGAAGACATGAAACCCTGGCATCAGTATTTTAAGTTCCCTAGTGATTCCAATGTGTTGCCAAGGTTGAGAATCACTGCTAAAAAACTATGGTTGTGGGGGTCTTTTTGTTTTTTGGGTTTTGTTTGTTTAGGGAGGGGACCTAACATTAGGACAACCTGTGATATTTGTTAAATGTGCATATTGTTGGGCTCTACCCCAGACCTCCTGAGTCAGTAGTTCTGGGAGGACTTACTAACCTAATCAAGGACCTGCTGCTGCTGCTAAGGCGCTTCAGTCGTGTCCGACTCTAGGCGACCCCATAGATGGCAGCCCACCAGGCTCCTCCATCCCTGGGATTCTCCAGACAAGAGTACTGGAGTGGGTTACCGTTTTCTTCTCCAATGTATGCATGCATGCTAAGTCGCTTCAGTTGTGTCCAACTCTGTGCTACCCCATGGACAGAAGCCCACCAGGCTCCACTGTCCATAGGATTCTCCAGGCAGAGAGAATACTGGAGGAGGTTGCCATTTCCTTCTCTGAATCAAGGACCTAGGAGGAAATGTAGTCAGAAAAAGACCACAGGCACCTTGTTTTGTCTCTAGGAGTTTATGCTAATACAAATGCACAGATGTATTGAAAATAAAAAGGTCGGTGTCAAATACGCTAAAATGCTATTTCAAAGCCACTGAGTTGGCCCTTTGGGAACTTGTTCTTTTATCAGATATTCTCTTTCAAGGTAAATCTGTCACTTAGATCTTTAGATGTTTCTGTACTTCTCAGTTTTTCCTCGTAGCAGAGGAAAGATGTTAGCATCTGCCAGCACTTATCTGTCTTACCCTAGATAGAAGCAGATGTTTGAGAATCTGATTATATTTCTCACACTGCTTAGGTTGCTTGCTTTCTTATTCATGATACCTAAAACCATGAAGTTTGAAAATAGAATCTCCATATCTCTTCCATGTGAAAATGGAAGGGATGATAACAGTAGGAAAGAACAATCCAGATGCTGAGGTGTTTTGTCTTTAATTCTTATTTAGGGCCACCAAGAACATGTAATGAGTTTAAAAAAAAATAAAAAGAGTTCCCTCTAGGCAGACTGAGTGCCAAGAAGTGCTTTTTCCTTCAGCCTGGAGTTGGGGCCCAGGGCTTGGCAGAGAGCCTTTGGTCTGGATTTCAGCTGCTGCTTGGGGCCTCTGGCTTCTGTGTGCCGTACAAGTTGCACACTACATAGAGTAAGCCTCTAGAAGATTTTCATCTGAGAAATAAAGTGCCCTGGATAGAGCACGCCTAAAACAGATACAGCTTAGCAACAAAGCCAAACAAATTTTTTTTTTTTAGTTCGTCCCTTTGGACCCAGTATTCACAGTTTTAACGATATTTGTAAAAGTCTATAAAGTAAGACTTAAAAATGGAGTAACGCAGAGGGACACCCTCACTCTCATAGCAGGTGTGTCATTGTATTGCTGCTTTAATTCCAGCGTTTGGGCTTCCATTTTCCCTTCTAGGACCATGGGCTGCGTGGCTTCTTCCAAGGCAGTGTCCCCCGGGCCCTCCGCAGAACCCTGATGGCAGCCATGGCGTGGACAGTCTATGAAGAGATGATGGCCAAGATGGGCCTGAAGTCCTGACCCAGCGGGGACCGGGCAAAGATGGGATCTGTTGTCCTGCTTGGATTCTGCCAAGGGCCGCTTCATCTCACCACGCTGGAGTCGGATGAAGTCCTAGCAGGAGAGCCTGGCAGACACATTGCCTTTAGTTACTCAGTTCAAGAAGAGAATAGGTGGGCCCAACTCAAATAGGTGGGTCCGACTTAAGCCTTCTGAACCTCCCAGAAGAGGAGTCGCTGATAGAGCACGGTGGGGAGTCAGGAAAAGCGTCTGCATACCCTACAAGGCCACGTGAAAAGGCATTTCCAGAGAGAGTGCCGTCGGCGGTCCTGCTCAGCCACCCACTACACCACGCCGCCTGCTTGGATCTGCTCTTGGGAAAGAAATTGCAACCCCAGAGATGCTGTGAGCTCTCCATTGTGTCTGAGGAGTTCTAGCAGCGAGACTGGATCTGCCAAGCAAGGAGTCACACTCACCAGGCTGAAGTCTCCCTCTGAGGTGATGTTAGGATGAAGAAGAAAAGATGTCATGACGTAACTGATTCCTTGTTAATTTCTAAGAGGCGCCAGGAAGCAGGGAAGGGAATTAGTTTCGTAGCCTCTAAGTGTCCAAATAATATTTTTTGGTTTCGGCCCCTGCATGGTTTCAACTTCAAGTTGATCTGGCATTTTTCTGCAGCTAAAGTTGGGATAAATAAAGTGAAGCATTTTATCACTGGAAAACCTCAAGTGCCATGACTCCATCCTACAGTAACAAAATAAGGTGGCTAACACTTGATCTATATAGGTCCTCAAGCTTAAAATTGTTTAAAATAGCTTTATTTTATATGATCCGTCCATTCCAAATACACAATTCTATGATTTTTTTAAGTAACTTTATTGTCTACTGCAGCCCATCAGCATAAATCAGTTTTAGAACACATTCACACCTCCAGTAAGAGCTCTTATTTACAATGAACCCTCCTTCCAAGCCCAGGCAGCCACTGATCTGCTTTCTGTCTATAAATTTGCCTTTTCTCTGCACTTCCTGTAAGAGGACTAATACAGTGTAGTCTCCCATGTAGTCTTTCATATGTAGTCTCTTGTGTCTGACTTTTTTCACTTAGAATAACATTTTGGAAGTTCATCTATGATGTGGCATCTTCAATACTTTATTCCTTTTTATGGCCAAATAATCTATTGTGTGCCTATTCTATTTATCCATTCATCAGTTGGTGAATATGTGCATTGTAAACACTTTTTGGCACTTACAAATAACGCTACTATGAACATTCCTGTATGAATCATTTGTGTGGATATATATTTTCATTTCCCTCGTGTACATGCCTCAGAGTGGTGTTACCGGTGGTATTATTCTTACGGTTTCTGGTGGTTGCTGGCAATTCTTGGCTTTCATCACTCCAATCTCTGTCTTCACAATGCTTTCTCCCCCATGTATCTCTCTGTCCAGATTTCTGAGTTTATACTTTACATTCTAAGGTTAGAATGCCCTATGTACAGTTATACTATGTGGAGGAGTGTGGGAGAGGAAAAGTAGGATCCTAGTCTAGTGGTACCTAAGCCATTAGTGATTGGTGCCCTGTGTGTATGAGGCTGTGTCCTGGGGGAAGCGGGGAGCACTTAGGGGTGGCAGTCGTGTACTTGGGGCAGGAATGCAAGGCAGGCAGCTTAACACAGATAACGGATGGGGCGCCTGCTGCCTAAGGACTTACTTAGCCTCTGAGGCAAGATGTTCAGGTTTTTAGGCCTCTTCAGTCTCCCTTGACCGACCCTCATCTTGGGCTCTGGGAGCCTAGAGCCAGTGAGGGCCCTGCCAGGGACTTGGGAGGGGAGGAGCAGAGATGAGGCCCAGGGGTGCAGGCTTCATCCAGTACAAATCTGCTCATCTTATACACAGCTGATGAATTTCAGTTACCAGAGTCTCCTTCCCCACTCCTCATTTTTTCTTTTGGGGACATATCATCTTAAAATTTGGAGAAATCATCTCATTTTCTCTAAACGTGGGGTAAAACTGAAATTTGCCTTTAGAAAATCTGACTCCAGGAGTGAAGGCCCCTGGGATCTGCATATCCCAGGCTCCAAGAAATTTTTTCCTCTCCCACTGTCTCCCACAAGTATTGACGTTCAGGCAGGAAGTGGGCAGTGGGCTTCAGCTGACTTTGGAAACACTGCCCAGTCCCCCCCACCTCCTTTTTTTTTAATGAAAAAAAAAAAATTGATCTTAACTGCCCCAGAGTTAGAGCAAATTATTTTGGGGCGGGGGCTTTGTGGGAGTAAACAGTCATCTGGCAGCTAGAGATAAGGCCTAGTAAGGCAGGAAGCAAAAAGGACTGAAGCCAAGCTTTCAAGCTGCCTTATACTGTTTCCAAGAGTATATTATGAAATAGGTCAATCAAAACAGAGTAAATGGTACACTGCCCGTCACTCAGCATCACTCAAATGGAACAATCACCAGAATTGACTCACTACTGCTCGGCTCTCCCCTCTCCCCACTACCTCCTTTATTCTGCAGTGAAGCTTTTAAAAGCAGATCCCAGACTTAGACCATTTCACCCTTCCACATTTCAATATGCATCTCTAAAAATCAAGGACATTTTTCTTCTGTAAGTACCATGTTATTACTCCACCAAAAAAGCAGTTAACAGTTTTTTTTTGCTTATCATCCGGTACTCAGCCCATATTCACAGTTTCTCTGATGGCCTCCGAAATGATTGTTTACAGTTGGTTTAATTGAGTCACGATTCAGATAAGTCCTGAGATTCTTTCACCAACTGTTTGAAAGGGTAAGTAATTTTGAGGCAGACCATGGTTTAACTGAGTCATCACTTCCTGAGAGCCCTATCAAGTCAGGGAACAGAGGAATAGGAGGAAGAGGGGTTGCAAAGCTGCGAAGTGCTCCTTTCACACCCCTCAGGCTGAACAGTGCATTTCCGACATTTTATTGCCTTCAAGTTACTAGTTTTTGTCACCAGGTCCTCTAAAAAACTAGTTTTTGCCACCAAGTCCTCTAAAAGAGCTGGCTCGATCCCATAATGTCTATGTGTCTTTTCAGTTTCCAAGTTTTCCCCTGCTCCTTGGGGACTGGCTTAGGTAGCTGACAGACGCTTTAAGATCGGTGGTTCTTAAATTTGGCTGCAGGTTGGAATCACCTGGGAAGCTTTAAAAACCACTAGTACCTGGGTCGGTCACCCAGAGGGTCTAGTGTAATCAGGCTAGGTTGTGGCCTGGGCATGAGTAGTGGGCCTGGCGATTCTAACGTACCGCCAAGGCCTTGCAGGAGCCTTGCAGGGCGGGCACCACTCAGCTTTCCCAACCCAGGCTCCAAGGGTTAAGCCGCAGACGAGCTCTTGTGGGCGGAGCGAGGCCTCGGGTGCGGGGCGGGGCTCCGGGTCGGGGGCGGGGCCCGGGCCTAAGCGGGGAAGGCGGGAGCTTCCAGGCCGCCCTGGTCCCGCTCGCTGGGCTTCGCTGGGCGAGCGGAAACGCCTCCACTTTTCAAAACAAAGAGGAGAAGCGGGAGGCGTGTGTGGCGCGCAGGGCTCAGATAGGTCTCTTCTGCCCGGGCGCTTCAGCATCGCTGGGGGACAATGGAGGGGAGCCTGGGAAGCGGCCGGCGCTCGAGGTCAGACGGTCAGCCGGCGCCTGCGAAGATCTCGCCGGCCACAGAGGAGCTGCAGAGCCGCTTGCAGGAGACCCTGGACTTGCTATCCTCGCAGGAGCTGCGCAGCTTCCGCGACCACCTTAAGAAAGTGGAGCCGCGCGCGAGCCAGGTGAAGCTGGAGCTGGAGGGCCACAGCTCGTCGGGGCTGGCCGGGCTTCTTGCCAAGCTCTATCCGCCGGCCGCCGCCAAGCGCGTCCTTGTCCAGGTGCTGGAGCTGCTGCCCCGCGCAGACCTGCTGCCGCGCTGGCAGAGCGCCCCCACCGATTGCCCTGGTGAGTGCGCGGGGATTCCCGGAGGAGGGGGTGCTCGGGGCCGCGGGGTTTGGCCCCCGCCGCCCGGGGATTCCCGGATTGGGGCAGGGGCGGGGGTGGGGTGGGTACTGACCTAGGGAGGGGGAGACTGGCGGGGGGAGGGCCCTAGGTGAGGGCCGGGTTTGGCCCCGGAGCCCAGGTGAGCGGCGGGGGACCGAGTATCAGTGAGGGGCGATGGGGGAGGCGGAGCAAGAAGGACGAGGGCCTCGAGGGAGGGAGAGAACCCGCGCGGAGGGTGGGAGCCCGGGAGTCGGCGGGAAGAAGAGAGATCATTCCCAGGCACGGAATCCAAGTGACCAGTCCAAAGCAGCCATCAGGGTTTACCATTCTGGGACGGGCTGAGAAATCCAGATTGACTCAGCAAGACTAAGGTGCATTTTTAGCAGTTACCTCCGAGTGGTTATGATGGAGAAGGTTTTTAGATGGTGCAATGGAAAACTCAGTGTTGGAATACACCGTTAGAACATTTGCCATAAATCTGGGAAGATGTGGTTTAGGAGCAAGAAACGTAACAAGCTGGGGGAGGTTAGGGTTTCCCCTGGTAAATTTAATAAAGGTATGTGTGTATAATATACGAGGCAGTTTGTGTACACGTGTGTAGAGAGACAGAAGGAGAGAGTGAGAAAGAGGAGAAAGAGAAAGCAGCACTTATATTGGGCGTGTTGAGGTAGACACCAAAATATACTATAGCTGGTGTCTGTTCTCCCATGCTTATGATCTGATTGAGTTTCGAAATATGTTGCTTTGCTGACATTTGAATTTGTAATGGGTGACCACCGTAAACCACCACAAAACATGGCCTGTAGGTAGAATACTGGCCCTGGGAAGCCTTCGGTTCTCCCTTGACTGCATCTGCACAGCACTTACACTGTCCGTCCCTGATGAATTGTTATCATGCTTTAGACTGTGAATCTCTTGCAGTTAGTTGGTAAAGTGGGTTATTTTTTGGTTTTTCAGAACCAACCAAACTACACAGTATCATGACTACACACTGTAGATGCCCCCAAAATACGTGAATGCTAAGTTTGTTTAATTAAAACATCAAATAGGGTCTTTAACTTCATTTGTCTCTTTATTGAAGTCTTGGTCTCCTTTTCTGGAGGTTCATGTTCAGTAATGTTCATTGGTCTTTATCCTTTTCATCTCTGGCCTGCCTCTCCCTGGCCCCTGAAGCTGACTGAGGCCTAAAGGAGTTCTGTTAAGTTTCCATTCTCATGAGTTTGGGAGAGGGTTTTCATGATCCCGGAAACCTGTTCTGAAATGAGATTGAAGCCTGCTGGGCCCCAAAACGAAAGAATCAACTGTTTTTCTTGGGAGTTGCTTTCTGTTAACAGGAACGACTACAGATCATAATTAAAAAGAGAAAAGTGGGGGAAAAAATGCTCTTTTCTGTTTTGTCTTTTCACGAAAATTCATTCAGTGATTCCACGAAAGATTCCAAAGAGAAGCTATGACTGTGTGGATGGTGAATTGGTAAGTATCTGGATTTTTATTCTAACGCTACATGTTAGTTGGCTTCCCTGCTGGCTCAGTGGTAAAGAATCGTCTGCAATGCAGAAGATGGAAAAGACGTGGGTTAGATCCTTGAGTGGGGAAGATACCCTGGAGTACGAAATGGCAACCCACTCCAGTATTCTTGCCTGGAGAATCCCCATGGACAGCGGAGTCTGACAGGCTACAGTTCATGGGGTTGCAGAGAGTTGGACACTACTTACTGCACGCTCACACTTTAGTCAGTTCAGATAGTATTTAGATACCATTTGAATGGTTTTTGTGCTGCTTCTGCTGGGCTGAAAATGAACATCTGTGTGGTTGTCTCAAGTGGTCAGATCTTTCTGCTTTCTGTTATAAATAGAAAAAGCAAAATATTAGCCAGTTAAAACCACTTTGCATGCATTAACCAAATTAGGTAAGCATGGTTAGTATCTCCATTTTACAAATCAGGGCACCGCAGGTTGTACGGCCTTGCACAACTACATAAATTGCTGGCTTCTGACTCTTTTCTGTTTGTTTTATTATGAACATTTAAAACATAAGCTAAAGTAGAAGAGAAAAATGAATCCCCATACTCCAGTGCCCCCTTCCTAGAGCCCTACTTCAACAATTAGCAATGTAGCCAGTCTTGTTTCATCTGCTCCCTGGACCCTGTTATTTTAAAGCAACCCTCTCCCACACCGAGATATCTTACCACTTTCATACATACAATACTTGAGTATGTATTTAGCAAGCCTAGAAACAAATTCCTTAGTCTCGGTAGAGATGCAGTTAGCCTACAGATGTCCTTGGCTGGTTCCAGTGTCTTGTACAGTTGGATTGTTTGAGTTTGGCTCTGATTCAAATGCAAATACATTTGAAGGTCTTTTAACACTCTTAATTTATGATACCTTTCCCTCTAACCTCTTCTGTTGTTTGTTGCCAAAGCCTGGTTATTTGTCCTGTAGAATGTCCCACCTTCTGGATTTCCATAACTGCATTTTCCTTACACCGTGTAGTTATGTCATTTACCATTTGCCACTTTCCTTAAACGGGTAGTTATGACTATGTATAGGAATTTAGAGATGAGATTGGCCTGTTGGTCCAAGTTTGACAAAGGTATTTGAAAGAATTATAAAGGAAGTCATGACGAGAGGAAATCAGTGTTAAACTCGTTTCACATATAAGGCACATTTGGATTCAGTTTGGTTTTAACATTGTTTTTGGCTTTCCTTGCAAACAGGACCATTATGACCTACGTGGCAGGCGGGAGGCCTTCCTCATGTGTGTGAAGAAGAACAGGCCAGGAGCTCACCAGGATGTCCAACTGATGAAGGATTGGCTTAACGAGTGCAAGTTCGAACAGACGTTGTGCATCGATCCTGACAAAATGGTACCAAGTTAAAAACAAAAGTGAAAATTTGTAGCTTGGGCCTTTCCTGGTGGTCCAGTGGTTAAGACTCTGTGCTTCCACTACAGGGGGCTTGGGTTCGATCCCTGGTCAGAGAACTAAGATCCCACATGTCCTGTGACATGGCAAAAAAAAAAAAAGGAAAAATTGTAGCTTGGATATTATAATTTTCCTTTCTTCTTTAAAAAAATTGAGTTTTATTACCTGGTTAGAAGGGCCTGCTGAGTGATGGACCTGAATGTCCTGATGAAATTCTAACCGAGCTTCCCTGATGGAAGCTTTTGTTATGTTCAGTTCAGTTCAGTTGCTCAGTCGTGTCCGACTCTTCGTGACCCAATGGACTGCAGCACGCCAGGCTTCCTTGTCCATCACCAACTCCCGGAGCCTGCTCAAACTCATGTCCATTGAGTTGGTGATACCATTGAACCATCTCACTCTCTGTTGTTCTCTTGTCCTCTCGGCTTCCATCTTCACCAGCATCAGGGCATTTTCCAATGAGTTGGCTCCTTGCAAAAGGTGGCCAAAGTATTGGAGTTTCAGCTTCAGCATCAGTCCTTACAATGAATATTCAAGATTGATTTCCTTTAGGATTGACTGGTTTGGTCTCCTTGCAGTCCAAGGGACTCACAAGAGTCTTCTCCAACACCACAGTTCAAAAGCATCAATTCTTCCACACTCAGCTTTCTTTATGATCCAACTCTCACATCCATACATGACTACTGGAAAAAAAGTAGCTTTGACTAGATGGACTTCTGTTGGCAAAGTAAATGTCTCTGCTTTTTAACATGCTGTCTACGTTGGTCATAACTTTCCTTCCAAGGAGCAAGTGTCTTTTAATTTCATGGTTGCAGTCACCATCCACAGTGATTTTGGAGTCTAAGAAAATAAAGTCTGTCACTGTTTCCATTGTTTCCCTATCTGTTTGCCATAAAGTGATGGGACTGGATACCATGATCTCCGTTTTTTGAATGTTGAGTTTTAAGCTAGCTTTTTCATTCTCCTTTTTCACTTTCATCAAGAGGCTCTTTAGTTCTTCTTCACTTTCTGCCATAAGGTGGTGTCATTTGCATATCTGAGATTATTGATATTTCTCCCAGCAGTCTTGATTCCAGCTTGTGTTTCATCCAGCCTGGCATTTCACATGATGTACTCTGCATATAAGTTAAATAAGCAGGGTGACAATATACAGCCTTGATGTACTCCTTTCCCAATTTGGAACCAGTCTGTTGTTCCATGTGTGATTCAAACTGTTGTTTCTTGACCTGCATACAGATTTCTCAGGAGGCATGTAAAGTGGTCTGGTATTCCCATCTCTTTAAGAATTTTCCACAGTTTGTTGTGATCCACACAGTCAAAGGCTTTGGCATAGTCAATAAAGCAGAGGTAGATGTTTTTCTGGAACTCTCTTGCTTTTTTGATGATCTGGATGTTGGCAGTTTGATCTCTGGTTCCTTTGCCTTTTTTATATCGAGCTTAAACATCTGGAAGTTCTCAGTTCATGTACTGTTGAAGCCTGTCTTGGAGAATTTTGAGCATTACTTTGCTAGCATGTGAGATGAGTGCAATTGTGCAGTATTTTGAACGTTCTTTGGCATTGCCTTTCTTTGGGTTAGAATGAAAACTGACCTTTTCCAGTCCTGTAGCCACTACTGAATTTTCCAAATTTTCTGGCATATCGAGTGTAGCACTTGCACATCATCTTTAGGATTTGGAGTAGCTCAGCTGGGATTCCATCACCTCCACTAGCTTTGTTTGTAGTGATGCTTAGAAGGCCCACTTGACTTCATATTCCAGGAGGTCTGGCTCTAGTTGAGTGATCACACCATCGTGCTTATCTGGGTCATGAAGATCTGTTTTGTATGTTCTTCTGTGTATTCTTGCCACCTCCTGTCAATATCTTCTACTTCTGTTAGGTCCATACCATTTCTGTCCTTTATTGTGCCCATCTTTGCATGAAATGTTCCCTTGGTGTCTCTAATTTTCTTGAAGAGATCTCTAGTCTTTCCCTTTCTGTTGTTTTCCTCTATGTCTTTGTACTGATCACTGAGGAAGGCTTTCTTATCTCTCCTTGCTATTCTTTGGAACTCTGCATTGAGGGGATATGGAGAGGGATTACTGAGAGCCCTGGGCAAAACTGCATTATGATTTAACTAGATGACCAAGAAGAAGATGAGGGGGAAGAGCAGTGGTGGATGGGCGGGAGCTTCATTGTGACCTCTCTGACCCCAGCTGAGTCCAGGTCTAGCCCTGCCTATCTTCTGGATTAATAACAGAGGAGAGTCCTTCATAGACCCCAGGAGTCATTGCTAGTGAACATGAAGTGACGGCATAGCAGGAGGGCTAGAAGAACCACACATACCAACAGAGGTGGAGCCCTGTCTCCTACCAGTTGTTAGTCTAATCCTCAACTGGGGGTGACTGTCCCCCCTGGGGGCTACTTCTGACACTGTCAGGAGACATTTTTGGCCTTCCCAGGTAGCACAGCAGTAAAGAACCCTCCTGCCAATGCAGGAGACACGAGAGACGCGGGTTCGATCCCTGGGTTGGAAAGATCCCCTGGAGAAGGAAATGGCAACCCACTCCAGTATTCTTGCCTGGAGAATCCCATGGACGGAGGAGCCTGGCGGACCGCAGTCCAGGGGATCACGAAGAGTCGGACGTGACTCAGCGTGCACTCATGCCAGCGCACAGAGACGTTTTTGTTTTTCATCATTGGAGGGTGCTGTTGGCATTAGTGTGGATGCCAAGGTAGAACCAAGGTTGCAGCTGAACATGTGACAATGCATAGCACAGCTCCCAAGGCAAAGCTCCCTGACACAAAATGTCAGTAGTGTGATAATTCTAGAAATTCTGCCGTGAATTAACGGACGGCTTTCTTATCTCTAAGATGGGGAGGTTATAGTAATTTATTATGTAGGGCTGGGGTGAGGATGAAATGAGCTGCTTTATGTAAAAGTTCTCAGGATAATAGCTGGCCCATAGTAAGTACTCGATAAATTTAGATTTTGTTTCAAAGTTAAAAGCAGACTCCTTCATGTTTTCCACGGATTGTACCGGGATTTCTTCTGTGTTATGTGATTTTTTAAAAACCCATCTTTTCCATTCAGGCGACAGATAATTGCCAATGTTTTTCTGGTTTATGCTCCTAAAGGTCCAGAAGTGACTTCTTTCTCTACATGCTGTCAACATTTATTTGTAAATATTTAGCAATCTTACTGGTAAAGTTATTTTACTTTTTCATTTTCTTGACTATTAGCATGGTTGAACATCTTTTGGTCATTATTTTCCCTTCTGTGAATTACCTGTTTACATCCTTTGCCCATTTTTCTTACTGGATTTTCTTTTCTTATTCTGTAGTTCTTTTTCCTGAATTTTAGGCAAAATAGACTGCAGATATTTTTCTCCTGCCTTGTTACTTGCCTTTTGACTTTTTGTTGTCTCAAGTCATGGAAGTTTTCATTGTAAACTCGTCAGTCTTTCTTTTTGTCAGCTTCTTGGTTTTTCTGTCTTGATTAAACCCCAGCTTAAAATTTAGTATTTATTTTTGGCTGCACTGGGTCTTTGTTGCCGTGCGGGCTTTCTCTAGTTGGTGAGCGGGGCTACTTTTAGTTGCGGGGCTTGGACTTCTCATTGCTGTGACGTCTCCTGTCGCAGACACAGGCTGTAGGGCATGCGGGTTTCAGTGGTCGGGGCTCCCCGGCTCTGGGGCACAGGCTGCGGAGCTGTGGCAGATGGGCGTAGTTGCTCCTTGGCGTGTGGGTTCCCGGATCAGTGTCAGACCCTGCTCTCTTGCATTGGCAGGCGCATTCTTTACCACTGAGCCGAGAGGAAGCCCCCCAGCTAAAAATTTTTATAATTATTTTTCTATAATATCTTTATAGTTAAGGTTAGCCTTCTGCTCACTGAAACAGTGAGGTGGGAGGTCTACCTTTATTTCCAAGCCAGTTTTCACTTGGTGGTGGTACATCCTTTCCCCATATATGTGAAAGTCCATTCTTGTCATAAATTAAATCCCTGTATGTGTATTTGGATTGATTTCTGGATTCTAAAATATCTATTCATGTATTTGTTTATACTTATGCTGCTATATCAGTGTTTTGTTCACCATGATTTTATAGTGCATTTGGACATCTGAGATGATCTATCGCCCGTTCATTGTTTTTTTTGTTTGTTTGTTTGCCTTTGTTTTTTACTTCTGAATGTTCTTTGCTATTCTTGAGTACCTTGCTATTTCTGAGGATCTGTTTTCTGTGACCTTGAGAACCATCTAGTTAAGTTTCACAGAAATCATTTGAGGTTTTACCTCATACGACATTGACTAGAAATTTATTTGGAGTTAACTGACGAATTAATAGTATTGAGTCATCGCAATCAGAAACTTCAGGCTGTCATAGTTTATGTTGCCTCTTCACTGAAGATTTTTTAAATAAGTTTCTTCACTTAGATAATGTTCATCTTTTGTTAGGTTTATCCCTAGGTAATGTTCTACTTTTGTTATGACCTTCAAAGGATCCCTTTTCCATTATCCAGTTTAAATGTTTTATTCCTGGGTAATTAGGGAACTCTCAGTTCAGTTCAGTTCAGTCTCCCAGTCATGTCTGACTCTTTGCGACCCCATGAACTGCAGCATGCCAGGCCTCCCTATCCATCAGCAACTCCCGGAGTCCACCCAAACCCATGTCCATCGAGTCGGTGATGCCATCCAACTGTCTCATCCTCTGTCGTCCCCTTCTCCTCCTGCCCTCAATCTTTCCCAGCATCAGGGTCTTTTCCAGTGAGTCAGCTCTTCACATCAGGTGGCCAAATATTGGAGTTTTAGCTTCAACATCAGTCCTTCCAATGAACACCCAGGACTGATCTTCTTTAGGATGGACTGGCTGGATCTCCTTGCAGTCCAAGGGACTCTCAAGAGTCTTCTCCAACACCACAGTTCAAAAGCATCAATTCTTTGGCACTCAGCTTTCTTTATAGTCCAAGTCTCAATCCATACATGGCTACTGGAAAAACCATAGCCTTGACTAGATGGACCTTTGTTGACAAAGTAATGTCTCTGCTTTTCAATATGCTGTCTAGATTAGGGAACTCTAGATCTTTGTAAATTAAGTTTGTATCTGGTCAACTTGCAGATCTCTACTTTTAGTAGGTTTTAGTTGAGTATACTATTCATACTGTTCATGGGGTTCTCAAGGCAAGAATTCTGAAGTGGTTTGCCATCCCCTTCTCCAGTGGACCACATTCTGTCAGACCTCTCTACCGTGGCCCGTCCATCTTGGGTGGCCCCACACGGCATGGCTTAGTTTCATTGAGTTAGACAAGACTGTGGTCCTGTGATCCGATTGGCTAGTTTCCTGTGATTATGGTTTTAGTGTGTCTGCCCTCTGATGCCCTCTCGCAACACCTACCGTCTTACTTGGGTTTCTCTTAGCTTGGACGAGGGGTGTCTCCTCATGGCCGCCCCTCCTGACCTTGAACATGGGGTAGCTCCTCTCAGCCGCTCCTGTGTCCTCGCAGCCTGGCGCTCTCGGTCGCTGCCCCTGACTTTGGGCGAAGGGTAGATCAGTGGAGAAATAACTCCAAAAAGAATGAAGGGATGGCACCAAAGCAAAAACAATACCCAGTTATGGATGTGACTGGTGATAGAAGCAAGGTCTGATGCTGTAAAGAGCAATATTGCATAGGAACCTGGAATGTTAGGTTCATGAATCAAGGCAAATTGGAAGTGGTCAAACAGGAGATGGCAAGAGTGAATGTCGACATTCTAGGAATCAGCGAACTAAGATGGACTGGAATGGGTGAATTTAACTCAGATGACCATTGTATCTACTACTAGATAGCATATTAAAAAGCAGAGACATTACTTTGCCAACAAAGGTCCGTCTGGTCAAGGCTATTGTTTTTCCAGTGATCATGTGTGGATGTGAGAGTTGGACTGTGAAGAAAGCTGAACACCAAAGAATTGATGCTTTTGAACTATGGTGTTAGAGAAGACTCTTGAGAGTCCCTTGGACTGCAAGGAGATTCAACCAGTCCATCCTAAAGGAGATCAGTCCTGGGTGTTCATTGGAAGGACTGATGCTAAAGTTGAAACTCCAATACTTTGGCCACCTCATGTGAAGAGTTGACTCATTGGAAAAGACCCTGATGTTGGGAGGGATTGGGGGCAGGAGGAGAAGGGAACACAGAGGATGAGATGGGTGGATCGCATCACCGACTCGATGGACATGAGTTTGAGTAAACTCCGGGAGCTGGTGATGGACAGGGAGGCCTGGCGAGCTGCGATTCATGTGGTCGCAGAGAGTTGGACACGACTGAGCGACTGAACTGAACTGAACTGAATTGAGTATATTTCTAGAAAGTCATATTATCTATAAGCAATGAGTCTTTTTTCCAATATTTATGCTTCATTTAATTTTTGCTGTACTGTATTGAAATGGCCAGGATCTTTGTTCCAACATAGTGAGAGCAGCCATTCTTGTCTTGCTTATCTTTTTAGGGGAATTGATTCTGCTGATGCCTCTTGATAGATTCTGGCAAGTGGATATGATTGGAAAGACTCCTTCATTCCTTGCCATTTCTAGCTAACTGAGGGTATTAACTTTATAAAATAATTTTTATATTACAATAAGTTAAACACATGTACACCCATGACTGATTCATGTTAATGTGTGGCAAAAACCACTACAATATTGTAAAGTAATTAGCCTCCAATTAAAATAAATTAATTAATTAAAAAATAAGTTAATAATGTAGTATTTAAATACATTAATTCTTTGGGGAACTATAGTTTTGTTATATTTTGCGGTAGAGAATCAGAAGTGCCATAATTTTGTCAAACAAGAACCACCATTGATAATAGAATAAATCATATGAAGTCTGAAAGCAACCAAAAGTGAAGTGATGAGTCATATTGACACTATAGAGATGTAGGTATTTTCATATTTGTCATCTCATTGATTCACCTGGTAAAGAAGCCATCTCTGGGATTTCTGTTTTTTTCTCCTTCCAGTTCTTCCTGAATATGTTATCCTATTTTACAGGACTTACTTGGAAAGATAACATCATTTCGTGATGGACTAAATGAAATTAAAGATGACATTGCCTGTTGCCTTGTTACTCTTATGTCCCATGGAGAAGAAGGTTTTATCAAAATGAAAGACGGTGAAAAAGTCAGCCTGGAAGACATTTTTGAAATGTTCAACAATAAAAATTGTCCAGCACTTCAAGAGAAACCAAAAATTTTTATAATCCAGGCCTGCAGAGGAGGTAAGCGGAGATGTCTTTGCATCACATTCTCTTTCCAGGGAATTCTCATGTTGATGATGGAGGAAAGAAGAGTGAGTTTCAAAAATTATTTTTTAATAATTATATTAAATTATATAACTGAAGATACATCAGACCCATAGCTGATGTATCTTACGTTATATAGCATACTAGGGACTTTGAGCTGGGAGAAAGGGATGGAGTGACAGCTTACCTGGGTTAGGATGGTTAATTTAATCTGAGGAAGGTCTAAGTCATTAAAATCATAAGGTGGATCTGAGAGCCTCAAATTCTGGGGGAGAGGTGGACAATTTTCTGGGGGATGTCCCATCATACATGTGATTCTAGATGGCTTACGGGGCTAATTTCTGATTTATGTAACTTTGGTTTTAATTATTTCTCTTGTGAAGATACAAGCTTCTTGTGACTTTTATTAAAGGTTATTCATGTCAACGGTATATTATTGTAGTTTGTATTTTCATTCCTCAAAAAACAGAGAGAAGAGACAGTGGTGTTGAAACAGATGATGAACCCATGGACTTGGATGATGGATCAGAGAAGAAGAGGCTGCCTACATTCAGTGATTATTTCATCATATATCCCACCCAAGCAGGTAAGATAGTGAGGCTTGAAGATACACATTCATCCAGAGGGTTTAGGTTATTCCTACTGATTTTTGAAATTTCTTTTTTTTTTTTTTTGCCTCTCTGCGAGGCTTGTGGGATCCTAGTTCCTTGACCCTGGATTGAACCTGGGCCCTTGGCAGTGGAAGCGCAGAGTCTCAGCCACTGGACCACCAGGGCACTCCCAGAAATCTTTCTTAAAAAAATTATCTGTGCCTTCTAGATTGACGTGCATGGGAGAAACTTTCATTATCCCACCCATCTCCCTTCAGAAACTATTTCACTTTCAGAGATGACAGGTTTGCATCTGACTGTTTATCTCTTCCAGGAAGACACCATCCTCTTAGCAGAGTATCACATATGAAATAAGATCATTGGCTTTCATGTGAGAAAGATCTTGACGCAAAGCCAACTCTGCTGTCTTTGAGACCTTTATATTTTCTAGCCTCTAGATATGTCAGTTTCTTTATGCAAAATAAGAATGATAAAATTTTCTTATTTCATTGGGATGTTTATAAATTAAATTATGAATGCAGGTGTTGTGCTTATTGTAATAACTGGCGTAATAAGTTTAAAAATTGATTAATTCTACTACTAATATGTTGATTACATTATTGTCTTTATTATTAATACTAATAAAAATCCAAAAGAGTGTTGTGTGCTGAAGGAGTGGACTTGATTCAGTCATGGAAGGGAAATAGGAAAATGTAGAGAAGATAGAAGTAAGTGTCAAGGGCATTTATTTAGCTGTTTTTATACTGACTTTCTTGAAAAAGGATTAAAATAGCTTAAGTATTTTTGTGTGTGTGTGTGTATAAAACATATAACATATACAGATATGTATGTGTATACAAGTCAAGACAAAATGTTAGTGAAGAAATGGAAGCAAAGGAAAATAAGGACAGAAATGTAAAATGAAAATGTCCCCATTAAAGTTAGATATAACTTTATTCACCCAAGAGAGATGAAAGCATATGTCCTAATAGACACTTGCACATGAGTGTTCATAGCAGATTTATTTGAAATAGTCAGACTGGAACCAATCCAAATGACCAACAGGTGAAAGAATAAACAAATCGTGGTATATCATACACGAAGTACTACTCAGCGTAAAAGCAATGAGTTCCTGACACATGCTAGAGCATAGGTGAAGGTCAAAGTATTCCTGATGACTGAAAGAGGCCGGACAGAATAAAGCAGGTAACTGTGTGGTCCCACGCATATAAAATTCTACAAAGTACAAAGTAATCTATCAGACAGCAAGTCAATGCCACTTGCAGATGGGGATGGAGAGTAAGGAAGGACCGCTAGGGCCATGAGAACGTTGGAGGAGGAGGGTTGGACTCATCATGTTGGCTTTAAGCATACATATGCCGAAACTTACTAAACCATTTGCTTAAAATATGTACGGATGATAGTGGCCAATTATACTTTTTTGAAGCTGAAAATTTTAAAGTTAGGTGTAAGGCAAGCAGGTGTAACCTGCTTAGGTGTAACCCATTCTCACTCCTACTCTTTAACATGGCATGAGCAGTCCTAGCTAATGTATTAAGAACAGAAATACAAGGATCAGTATTCTAGAAAACAGTACTTTTGAATACAGTAACAATAATCACTTAGGACATAAAAGAGAAAAGAAAAAAGATACCGTATTACTTTGTCTTGCTTTAGTGAATGATGTCTAGGAATGACTAACAAAAGAGGAGCAAGACTTCATTAGGGAAAATGAGAGAACATTCTAGAAAGACATAAAGGAAGACCTGAATCAGTGGTGGGAAATACCTTGCTCATGGTTGAAAATTGTAGTACAATGGAAATGACTGTTTTTTTTCCCCCCGAATTAGTTTGTAAATTGAATTCTAAAGTGTTTTTTCATGGAATTTGACAAACTAATCACAGAATTTTTATGGAACAGTTAAGGGTCAAGACAATGTAACTTGACCTCCAATTTTGTTGAATGAATGAATTTTGTGACTGTGTGCTGGCTATTTATGTTGAGGACTACAGATTCAGTATCGAACAAAAGAATGAAAAATCTCTGCCTCCAGGAAGCTTATGTTCTGGGGAGGGAGACAGAAAATAAACACATACAGAAAGTGGGTACTGGGTCGCTTTATGATTCCAGTTCTATGAAGTGCAAAAACTTCATATTAATCATTGAAATTAATCAATGGTGGGAGGTGGAAGTCAGGGGGTACAGTGTGTGGAGTGGTGATGACCACAGCAGCGAAAGCGCACTTGTGAAGTGCTGTTATCGTGTTTCTTGATGAGGGTGCCCATGCTGGGAGTGTGTTCATTGGATGAAAACTTGCTGAGTTATTATGCACCCATAGGGCTTCGCTTGTAGCTCTCCGTAAAGAATCTGCCTGCAACACAGGAGACCCAGGTTCAATTCCCGGGTTGGGAAGATCCCCTGGAGAAGGAAATGGCAACCCACTCCAATATGCTTCACACACCTTTCTGTATGATGTTTACCCTTCAGTGAAATAAATACCAGAAATAAAATATGTTAGATGGTGATAAGTGCTATGAAGAAAAATAATTCAGGACCAGGGAGAGGGAGTATTGAGGGGCAAGAGTGGAGGTTGTAGTTTTTTAAAAAGTGATGTGTAGAGATGTTTCTATTGAGAAGTTGATTATTGCGTAGAATTGAAGGCCATGAGAGCGTGAGCTATGCAGATATTTGAGAAAGCGTGTCTTCTAAGATAAGGACACCTAGTAGAAAGCAATGACCTAGCAATAATTGAGATAATGTGTTAGCATGTCATGTTATCATGGTGGATATGTCAATTTCTTCTGTAGTTCTGTTATCTACTTTTGTTTTCTTTATTTGTTTTGAGGCAACTTTAGTAGAGGGATAAGATTTTAGAATTGTTATACTTTGTGGTGACATAAATATATAATCATTGTTTAGTGAACCTTCTACCCCCAATAGTACTTTTTTATGGTATTAGTTTTTCTCTGATATTAATATAGATACTCCGGAATATGTTATTCTGGTCCATATTTGCCTGGTATATCTCCCTCAGACCTTTTCTAGTAACCTGTTTAGGTCCTTATGTTTTAGGTGGTCTTTTAAAGAGAATATAGCTAGATTTTGTTTTTTAATCCAATCTGATATCACTTTTTTCTGGTGAGTTAAGACGAGTTATCTTTATTGTCACTATTGATACATTTACACTTTTAGTATTATACCTGGTGCTATTTATTTGCTTTATTCCCCCTCCTTTATTGCTTTTCTTTTAAAAAATTGAAGTGTAGTTGGTATATACAGTATTATGGTAGTTTTATTGCTCTTGTTTTTGATTGATTATGAGTTTGATTTGTTATTATTACATTTTATCTCTCTACTGACTTAGAAGGTATGAATTTCACATCTCTTTTTCTCATGGTTCCCCTTGAAATGTTATATGCATGTACTTAACCTAAAGTTAATAAAAAGCTTATTCTTACTTTTTGATGATACACAGAACAACCTTAGAATGCTAATTCTTTTATTTTTGTATCTTTATTTATATGAAATTACTTATGTATTCTTACATTCCTTTTATCCTAATTTTCTTCTAAATGAAGACATTAACCCAACACATTTTCATCAGATAGGTTGGCATGTACTAGGGTGACAAGCACTATGCTAGGTAATGCCTATTCCTTTTTTAAAACCCTACAAATTAGAACATTTCATAGTATTTTTATACAGTGTATGTTTGTTTATATTTACCCATGTGTTTACCACTTCCTCTGTTCTCTAGTCTGTCCTGAATCTCAGACCATATTCTTTCTTCGTGAAGTATGTTCTTTAGAAACTCATTTAGGGAAGATTTATAGGTGGTAAAATCACTTTACACCCAAATCTGACTGATCACGTAACAATGCCTTTGCTTGTTCCTCCTTGTGATTCATTCATTTCTTGAAGCATTTCATGCAGTTATTTTATATTTTGTCTCTTATACTTCCAATATCTAAAGTCTTTGGGAATCTCTCTTATGGTGATTTCTGTTACCTGTCACTCTTGGGGGTTTGGTTCTTTGTGTGTTTGAATTCCTAGCTCATTTGTTGAATCTTAGTCTCTTACTCCTGGGGACATAAATCCGGTGTACTTGCCTTTAGAAAGCGTCATCACCCATGTGGACCTCTGTGGGAATCTTTAATTTATCTCCCTCCCTCCCAGGCATATCTTTCGGGCTTGACACTTCTCCTTAGGCACAGCATAGCTCTGGTGTTCCTATTTACTTTCTGCTCCTGGTTGAAGTTTCAACTTCCTCATTTGCAGAAATGGTTTGCCTTGGGGATTTCCATTCGTTTCTGTTAGCCCAGAATAGCATTAAGCTTTTTTGCTTTAATCAAGGATTAAGTTTTATAACTGGAGCAATATTTAAAGTGCCCAGAGGCTTCCCTGGTGGCTCAGATGGTAAAGACTCTGCCTGCAATGAGAAAGTCCCCGGTTCAGTCCCTGGGTTGGGAAGATCCCCTGGAGAGGGGAATGGTTACCCACTTCAGTATTCTTGCCTGGAGAATTCCATGGACAGAGGAGCCTGGCCATTTACAGTCCATGGGGTCACAAAGAGTCAGACACAACTGAGCGACTAACACACTTTCCAAGTGCTCAAAGTGGAAAACTTGGAATACGTAGTAAGATGAATTTTTGGGGTCACCTTTTTTTTTTTTTTTTTAATTTCATGATCCCATTTCTTTTTCTTTTTTTTATTTTGGTGTGCAGCATGTGGGATCTTAGTTCCCGGATCAGGAATCAAACTCATGCCCCCTGCAGTGGAAGCTCAGAGTCCTAACCACTGGACCACCAAGGAGTTGCCTTGGGTCACCGATTTTTACCCAATGGAATGACGCAGTACCAAATATGTCTGGGGTTGTGGGGCAACGACTACTTCCATATACCATTGATGAGAGCAAGTTATATTGCCTCTTTGGAGATTAATGTGTGATACCAAGAAAATTAAAAGTATATTTATGCCCAGCAGTTTCACTTCTGGGTATACACCCTAGTGTTGTAGTCTGTAAATCAGGGGGCCACAGTGAAGTTACACAGCTATACTGAATTCTGTGAACCACCAGCTCAGATAAGTTACGGTTCCAAAAATTAGACGGTGCTGTGTTTTTCTGATATCATATTTTAGGGGTACCGAGTTTTGAAGGGTTGCTGAGCTAAGGAGCAAGCACCATTGTGGTGTCCTAAGTTGAGAAGGCATGCAGTGCCCAAGAGGGGCACACATCCCAGTAGTAACTGTGGTTATTTAAGAATGGGGGACACCCCTGGTGGTCCAGTGGGTAGGACTCTGCTCTCACAGCTGAGGGCACAGGTTCAATCCCTGGTTGGGGGACTAAGATCCCACAAGCCCAGTGGCGTGATCAAAAATAAATAAATAAAAATATTTTTCTTTCTATTTGTATGGGCTTTTTTTTTACCATCTGTTCATGTGCCGGTTGGCCATTCATGTATCTCCTGTTGCCCAGTATTGCACTGGGTTGTTTGTTTTCTTATTAAATTATGTATATTCTGATTACTAGTCCTTTTTTTGGTACAAGTCCCAAATATTTTCTCCCACTCTGTGACTGGCTTTTCGTTTTCTTAAAGATGTCTTTCAAAAAGCACAAGTTTTGTAAGCATTCAGTGGTGGTTCTGTAGTAGAATTCTCGCCTGCTGAAGAGCACGAGTTCTATGTTTTTACTCCAGTTTATCAACTTTTCTTTTATGGCTTATGCTTTTTGTGTTGTGAGAAACCTTTGCATACCCTGAAGTTGCAAACATGTCCTGTGTTTTCTTGTGTTGCAACCCAGGTTTACTATGAGAGAGTGCTGTTTTCACATTCCTTCCACACTATACAGACATATTTTATGTTTTTCAATCTAATAATAAGCATAATTTCTGTAGTCAACCCCTTGAATACCCCCAAATAAATTCCACATAGATATATTTAGGGTTATTTAGCTTAAAATGCTAGAGCAAAAGTCAGCAATAAAAAAGTAGAAAGGGGATGTGTACGTGCATGCTAAGTCACTCAGTTGTGTCCAACTCTTTTTTGACCATGGACTGTAGCCCGCCAGGTTCCTCTGTCCGTGGGATTCTCCAGGCAAGAACACTGAAGTGGGTTTCCACGCTCTCCTCCAGGGGATCTTCCTGACCCAGGGACTGAACTTGCATCTCTTATGTCTCTTGCATTGGCAGGCGTTCTTTACCACCAGCGCCACCTGGGAAGCCCAGAAAGGGGATAATAAAGCAAATATGACAAAAAGTGATAACTCTAGGATCTGAGGGATGATTTTGGGGGGTGGGGGTCATTCAGCTTTGCTTTCTACTTTTGTGTATATTTGAAAACTTTGAAGCTAGATTAAAAAAATGCATATTTAAAGATTGCCTCTTGAGAGGTTGTGTGCAGTTGGTCACACAAGTCTTATGTCTGTGCTTAGTCGCTCAGCTGTGTCCAACTCTTTGCGACTCCATGGACGTTAGTCCATCAGACTCCTCTGTCCATGGGGATTCTCCGTCTTAATGCAGTGTTTCTTTTTCTAAAGTTTTTATTGAAGCACATTTGATTTACAGTGTTGTGTTAGCTTCACGCGCACAGTAAAGTGGTTCATATATATTCTCTTTTGGGCTTCCTCGGTGGCTCATATGGGGAAGAATCCACCTGCAATGAGGGAGACCTGGGTTTGATCCCTGGGTTGGGAAGATCCCCTGGAGGAGGGCATGGCAACCCACTCCAGTATTCTTGCTTGGGAAATCCCATGGACAGAGGAGCCTGGCAGGCTACAGTCCATGGGGTCATAAAGAATTGGACACAACTGAGCGACTAAGCACTCACATATATTCTTTATTAGATTCTTTTCCATAATGCCGGTTTTTCTGTATTATCAGTTCAAAGCCATTTTCTAGGTTTTAACTATGGAGCAAAGAACAAGTTTGCTGCAAGTAGAGAAGGAAAATGGATGAAGTGGTTTTTTTTTTTTTTTCTTTTTTCTTTTCCTTTATAGATCATGTCGCTTTACGGGATCCCCGCACTGGCTCTGTGATGATCAAGGAGATGACTGAAGTCTTTAAGCAGTATGGAAATAAGTGGCACATCGCTGACTTCTTTACCATAGTAAGTAAATTCCAAGTGAACACGTGCTCCATTCATTCTAAAGCTAATGCACTTGGTGAAAACATTTTCATGAGAAGATTGACTTCTGCTATGAAATCATGAGGGAGGTTCAGAAGTTGCCTGTAAACAGTGGGCTGGTGAGTTTAGAGGGCTGTGGCAGAAGTCATGGCTGAGCCAGGCGCCAGTGGGAAACTGACAGTGATGCTTCATTCAATAGAACACGAGTGAGTTGGCTGTTAGTGAGCCTGGAAGTTCTGCCTGCACTATGGTCCTGCCAGCCTGATTTATCTCCCCCAGGAAGAGGGGAGAACCAGAGGGCTTCTTTGGGAACCAACACTACTTACATTTGTCTGCCCAGCTTGTAGCCAATAGTGAATGTTCAGTGAATGAATGAGGGGCCAAGAACTGTAGCAGATTTATATGCACACTGTAGTTTGGAGGAGGGCCTGATGATAGTGGTTTACCATATCAGGATTAAAGAGTAATTTTCTTCTTAATCTGGGAGTTTTATCTCCAAAGAGAGCTAACTAGGAAAGGCTGTAAATGAGCACAGCAGTACTAACACCTTCTGAACAGCTCACTCTGTGCCAGTTACTGTTCCTTGCAGTTGACAGATATTAATACATTAAGTTTTTCAACAGCCCTCTGGCCGGTACTTTGATTCCCACCCCCTGTGACAAATGCAGAGCTAGCAAAGTGGCAACCTGGGCTTTCTAGTCCAGACAAAGTGCTTTTAGAGCTCATGCCTTAATCACAATCGCGCAGTATTACTCCTTAGGAGCGTCCCAGGTGGCTCAGTGGTAAAGAATCCACCTGCCAATGCAGGAGAAGAAGGTTCGATCCCTGGGTCAGGAGGATCCCCTGGAGAAGGGCCTGGCAACCCATTCCCATATTCTTGTCTGGAGGATCCCATGGACCGAGGGGCCTGGCGGGCTACAGTCCATGGAGTTGCAAAGTGTGGGACACGACTGAAGCGACTTAGCACGCTGTGCACACTTCAGTGTTCTTTCCATCCACAGTGCTGCCTTCGGTGGGATGTGGGTGACCTTTGCTTTTCCTGGTGCAGTCAGATAATTCTGCCCTCACCTTCTGTGGGGTTTACTAAGAGGCTTTTGAGGGCTTTACAGTTCTTTTGGACAGTTTGTTCTTTTCTCTTACAGGTGAATAACAGAGTGGTGCACCGTGACTTTAATCTGTGTAACAAACCAATAAAAATATCACTGGTAATGGAGTCAACTTTAACAAAATTTGTATACTTTTGACACCAGGATGATTCAAAAAACAAGGACTGCTTTGCAACAGTTTGTAAAGAGCTATGAGCATTTGTAGCATTGTACTAACAGTTACCATTTTGCATTTTTCTTGTCACTGGTGTTTCTTCAGTTTGTTTTGTATATATATATATAATTTTTATAAGATTTAAGTCTGCTTACTTGATACTTGTAAGTCTTTTTTATTTTTTTTAAGATCACTGTTTTCTGAAAAAACACTTTGCTGAACTGTTATCAAAACATGGACGTCCAGCTCCATTTGTGTACTGTTTTTATCCTGTGTTTCTCTTGCTGATTGCCCTACCCTCTCCACCCACAGTTTGGTGCTGGTGTTAAGGCTTGTTTTCTTGGTTTAGTCAAGAACTGTTGGGTGTGGTCTTGTCCTCTGTGTACCTTATTTCCCCAGACTGTTGTCTGTAGCCAGTCTGATCTCTCGGAATCTGTAAGCCATTCTCAGGCCTTAACCTGGATCACTCTGGGCCTTGGATGCCTTCGTGTGTTTACTTTGCACCTGTTTCCCACCTTCCTCCTTGCTCCTTATACCTTTGAGCTGCTGTCTCCTCCACTTGGAACCCTCTATTCCACCCCACATAGGTAAGTCCTTGCCATCCTTTAGAATTTGGTTCAAGCATCACTCACACAGGGAGGCTTTCCACAGCCCCATGCTAGGTCAGCTTCTTCTAAGTGCCCAGAGACTCTCAGCTTCTCTTCTATAGCATTGAAATGACTATCTAGTGCCTGTCTCTCTCTCTCCAGTTTAGTCGTGAGCTCCAAGAGGCAGAGGCTGTGTGTCTCATTCATGGCTGTATCCTAGCTTCCGTCCATGCCTTAGGACACAGAGAGACCATGCAGTGAACGTTTAGTGAGTGACTGATCCCTGTGTTTTAATTATTTTACCCATTCCGCAGACCTGGCCTCTTGAATATCTAGCCACCTGCCATTCACCCCCACACACATGCATGTCTCATGGCTGCTTTTACTCAACAAGTTGGAAGTTAACCTGAGTTTCCCCGAAATCCTTTCATAAAACCCATCCCATTGTTCATAATCCTTTGACTCCCCACTGCCTGCAGGATATACCCCCAAGTCCACTAGGAGAATATTGCAAGTCTTTCTCTGTCAGGCTCAATCTACACTACTCATGTACTGCTATTTGTCCTGGTAATTCGCTCTCCCTTAATAATCCTGTCTCACAGAATCGGGCTTATGAATTAGTGAATGTGGATGAACTCTCTTGGATATGTTATCGTATCAGAATTCAGTCCCTCCTTTCGGTCGGAAATGCTCATTCCTTTCTACTCTATGTTCTTCAGGGTGCAACTTGGGTCCCATCCCACAGTAAAGAAAACTGTATGTAGACTAATGTTTCTAGAGTAACAAACTGTGGACTGAGCATGAATTTTTGTATTCGAACTTTGGTTGTAACTCTGGACTGCTTCTGGACCTCGGTTTCCTCATCTGTATGAAAGGAGGTTTGGCTCAGCAGACCCTGAGAACCCACCCCCTTGGACTTCAGTGAACTTGAACTGCATAGTGAACTTGCTCCTGAACACCCTGCAGGTGGGACTGTTGCCGAACCTAAGGGTTCAGGCTGGCAGTTGCATAAGACTGTTGGGTCTATGTGAGGATGCAGCTGGTTAGTGAGAATGCTTGAAGATTGAGAGCCAAATGAACTGAAGCAATCCGGAATCCCCAGGCCTATCTCCATTTCAGAGATCATTGTGTCCATTTTAGGTAATGTGATTTCTTAAGTATAAATATATGTGATTTAATTTTTAAGCATTTGCGTTCTGATACTTGATATGTAGCTTTGGTTTTGTATAGAGCATTAAAATGTCTCCGGTTCATAAAACATGACCATCTGGTGAGCCTTCTCTATTCACTTGGGTTTTAGAGGACTTCTAGGCACAGAGGCTTGTTTCAGGGAGGCGGCATCAGCTGAAACATCAACAGCTCCTATTTCCTGGGAGAGGTTAGGTCGTTCAGAATCACAGTTAGTGTGTAGTGATGCTGGGATTTCAATGCATGAATAATATAAGAGATGAAATGCCAAATGACAGAGAAAAGCTTTAAGACAGAATGCTTTTGATGGACGGAAGAGACCATTCCATTACCACTGAACTGATGGAATGAAGGCTTTGGGACAAAGGAGGGAAAAATTATTTTGGAACCCTGCTCAGACCACTACAGGTAAGTTAGGGTCATGGAGGGAACTGGAGGACAACTAGGTACCAGACAAACAGATGAAGAGGAGAAAGGAGGAATTCTGGTTACAAAGGTAGATGGCCCAAGATGAACTTGATGCCTGGGGCCAGCTAACCACCCCATATTTCTCTCAGCTTCAAATCAGTACACAATCTCCTAGCCATTCAATGCCATGTGAAATATAGCCCCCCCCCCCCCCAAATAGTCCTGGTACAATTTTATATTTGAAAAAAAAATTGAAGCCCAGTTTTTACTATTTTTTAAATACAGACCCAAGGAACCAAAGTTTGCAAAAGAAAGGCTGAGATTTTTATTTTAAACGTGTACGAATAAAAAATAGTGGAGAAACTTGTGCAGAGGACCAGGAGGCTGAGGTGGGAAGGAGGACACTTGGCTGGGGAGCTACCACAGTTTGACAAGTGCCCCCTAGGCTGAGGGCTCCTCACTCTGGCTTACTATCACCATGATACATTTTCACCTTTGAAGATAACTTGCTTCCTTGCCGAAAATTTTCATCATGCATCGCACTTCTCAAGGACAGTTGTTTTGTGGGAAAAAAGTATTTTGTGGAGAAACAAAACCTAAACATAATTACAGCACAATTTCCCAGCTGTTAGAATGGAAGTATTTTGGAGATTCTATGGTGCACTGGGGAGGGAGCTGCTGAGATAGTTTGGGAGTGTCCTAGAACACCCTCCAGGAAAGTCCTGCAGTGACTGAAAACTGTCCCTAAAAGCCAGCCTTTCAAGTTTCCCACTTTGGGTCTACAGATACTTGCACCGGTTTCAAAGGATGCTTAAAGCCACAATTAAGTTTATTCCTTTGCTTGTATGTCAGCTCTTTATTTAAATGCAGTGTTTGTTTTATTTCAATGTAAAAACCTGTGTTCCTCAAAGAAAATTTAAAAAGTACTCGAGGCCAAGAACCTACCCAGTTCTCTACTTGTATACCTGTAGTTCCCACCCTGGGTGCACGTTAAAATTATCTAAATTCTTCTAGTTTAGCGTTGGCCATATGTTTAAAAGCTCTCCAAGCGAGTCTAAGTGCAACCAAACTTCAAACCTACTGTATAATTAACAATCTGGCTACTGGTTATTTCTTTACAGTCGTTTAATACCTAGGGTTTCAAATTTTCAAAATGATCGCCCTCATCCTGTAACTCCTTTTTGAACTATAGAATGTATTTTAATTCTTTTTAATGGCTGCATGGTATTGGGCGGAATATATATTAACTAATAATTGCTATCGCAATTTTTCTTCTACGAAAAAAATTCTCATGCATTCCATCCGTGTAGTCTTCATTTTATTTTTTTAAGCGGGAAACTTCCCATTAACAGAATTCTTTAAAAATCTGAATTAGACACTGCTAACTTATCCTCCAAAAACCGCAAAGTATCTTCTCCAGCTTTTGTTCATTCAACACAAGTTTGTTCAGTGCTTTCCCACGAAAGAAAAATGCAGTTTAAATAAGGAACCCGCTCAAGCGCACAGGTACAAAAAGCTGGGTGAGAGCGCCAATCCCTTGCTGGCCCTTCCGGACCTCACCCCTCTACGAAACCTGAGTGCGGCAATCAGCCCTCCAACTTCCGCCATTCGCTAGCGTCCGCGCTAGTGTCGTAGCCCGTCTTCCGGGGTAAGGCCCGCCCCCAGGATGCAAGCCTTCATCGAGCTTCCGCCGAGCTTTCCGTTGTTATTGGCTGGATGCGGACTATATAAGGACGTCACTTCCGCCCGCTAGTCCTTTCGGCGCTGCCCTGAGAGGGGTCCATACGGCGTTGTTCTGAGTGAGTTGATTTTGGGTTCCCGGTGGCTCTCAGGGCCTTGAGGACAAGCTTCCTGTCCAAACGAGGTATAGGAGGACCTGGGTGAAAGCCTGCCGACGGAGTGCGTTAGTCTCTTGACTAGGCGCTCTCACGCTCAGACCGGCGGCCTGCACGTGGCCGGGCCCGGGCCGGGACGTTCCCACAAGGCCTCGGGAGCGGGCAGAGGTTGCGCTCCCGCCGAGGAGGCCCTGGGTCGGAGTGCGGGTGGCTGGGGGTGCAGAGAGACCACCCTACGCTCTGCGCTGGTTTTGACTCAGATCCCGACGCTCGGTTGTAAATCCCGAGGCTTATGCTCCAGTTTTCTCCGTCTACTTGAGTTGGTCTCTTCCTTGTTCGTGGTGTTCAGGAGTTAAGGTTCTTGACGAGGTTTTTGTTACTGGAAAGATAAAACGTCGCGTTTCTGTTCTCTCGGTTCAAAATAATTTGGACACGGAATGCAAAAAAAGTCAGACTGAGGTGTAGAGAGAAGGGTGTTTATTAACGAACAGACGCCCAAGTACACTCGGGGAAGAAAGCAGGTGGGGAGTTCACCGAGAGCTTCTCTGACATACGCGCACACACCCCATTTCACTTTAATTTCTCAAATGGGTGGTTTCTATGGGAGGTTTCTTGATTAGGGGCGAAGTAAACTTTGTTGAAATTGGATGGGATCTTGACTGCCTGGTCAAGATCCTGGTTCCGGAAAGCATCGCACATGCGCTCTAAGAGCCGTTTCCCTCTACGAACGCCCTTCCTGAGAGGTTGAAGAGCAGTCACCTGCAGCTAGTATGCTCGGCCAGGCCCTGTGGATTCTTGGGCAGGGTTTCCTATTCAGGTGTGACGAGCTTTAATCAAAGTCTAATTTATGTTCGTGTTGTAAGGGCCATACTAAACGTTTCGTGGTCACATTAAGTACAGAAAAAGGGGGTGGGAGTTGCTTGATAATCTGCGTTTGAGGAGATTGTCCTTGATCTGGCCTTGTTCTCATTTTAAGGAAAACTAGTAATCTCGGAAGTAATGCCGAAGGTACCACCTTCAGTCTGCTTGAAAATAACGCCTATTTACATCACCGTTGCTCACCTTCTGAACATTCTCAGACATGGCTGCTCTTTCACATCTAACTCCTCTGTACCTTGAGTATTAAGAAGTCTCAGTTCACTGTTTTCATTTAGTTACCTGGGTGTTTTGCCTGTCTCCACATCACTCTTTGAGCAGGATTTGAGTTTCCAAGGTGTGGCATAGATCTGTTAATGTTCTGTCTCATCCCACTAGACTGACCCGTCTGCCTGACGCTGTAGGAGATGTGGTCTGTGGTTAAGATTTAAACATTAAGTCACCTGACTCCCAAGAGTAGAATGTACCATCCCGCTTAAGTCCCTGGAGTTTAAAGGACTTTTGTTAACTATTGTTTTTCAGATTCCCGTCGTAACTTAAAGGGAAGCTTTCACAATGTCCGGAGCCCTTGATGTCCTGCAAATGAAGGAGGAGGATGTCCTCAAATTCCTTGCAGCAGGAACCCACTTAGGTGGCACCAACCTTGACTTCCAAATGGAACAGTACATCTACAAAAGGAAGAGTGATGGTCAGTCATTGCTTTAGTGTTATTTGGTGATCATTCCAGCTATAAGAACAAGTTTTGACACTACTATTCTGACAGGTGGTACTGAGTTGAAGTGCTTTGTGAAATTTGAACCTTATAGGGCTCTCACTAAGTAATTGATGAAAATAGATCTTTAGATGGGTAAGAAGCTTTAAAAGTATTGAGTGCTCTGATTGTTTTTAAAGGAAAAATTCTGAACTCCAATGGAAGAATGGAAACTGGTAGGTTATGTGTCATGGGTTGGGCCTTGAATAAGCACAATGTAAAGATAAGGAGAAAGTTTAATAGCTTGAAGTGAAGTGGCTCAGTTGTGTCCAATTCTGCGACCCCATGGACTGTAGCCACCCTGCTTCTCTGTCCGTGGGATTTTCCAGGCAAGAGTACTGGAGTGGGTTGCCATTTTCTTCTCCAGAAGATCTTCCCAACCCAGGGATTGAACCCGAGTCTCCCACATTGTAGGTGGACGCTTTACCATAGCTTGGTTTCTAATGATTTATCTCCCAGAGTGCCTTATAATTTGTAGCTACCATTATGGGTTTGTAAAGCTGATTTCTGAAAGTAGAGCTATAGTTGGGAACAAGCATTTGGTTTTTGTGTGTGTAGCAGAAAAGGTAAGTTAGCTTTTGATGAGACTGGAATGCATTAAGTTGTTCCGCTGAGATAGAACCACTGAAGGATTTACACCTGTGAGTGGCAAGGTTTAAAGGAGTTCACGATAAATTTGACATGGTAGATGACAAGAGGAAAATAATGGTAGGCCACAAATAAGAACGAACTTCTTGGATTCTGCATGGAAGGCTTGAGGTGGGTTAACACAGGATAAGAAATGAAAAGATGCATTTTGCACATTATTAAAGCTCAGAGTGGAGGCCAGTCTTGGCCAATGAACTGCTGAGTGTCGGAAGTGTGCTATATTAATGGCAGGATTTTCGCTAACACCAGTAGAGCTTGCCTCTATGACTGGAGTTTGATAGTACTCGCTGCCACATGACTTAATGTTTTTAGGAGAATATTACCTTACAAATCTTGGTTAGCTCTTAAGAAAACCCTGTGTCCTCCCCTAGGCATCTACATCATAAATCTGAAGAGAACCTGGGAGAAGCTTCTGTTGGCAGCACGGGCCATTGTTGCCATTGAAAACCCAGCTGATGTCAGTGTCATATCCTCCAGGAATACTGGCCAGGTTTGTGGAACAGTATGCGTGGGTTTTGCTGCAAAGCCTACAGATGTTTTGGGATGTATACAAAAGCTGTTAAAAAAAAAAAAAACAGAATTTATTTAAAAAAAAAAATTTGAAACTGGGCTGAGTTGGAGGAATTCCCAGAATTAAAGATTGTCAACGTATTTGTCACTTCCCATCTGAGACTTAAATTCATGTATCATTGTTTATTTTCCTGTGCTGCTGAATTTCAAGAAATGTAAAAGTGGCTCACTGGCATTTTTAGCAGTGAGCTTTGAAGGTTTTAAATGAAACGTTGGACTTCCCTGGTGTCCAGTGTGTAAGAATCTGCCTGGTAATGCAGGGGACATGGCTTCAGTCCCTGGTCCTGGAAGATTCCACGTGCCCCAGGGCAGTAAGCCCACTCTGCACAAGGAGTGAAGCCCCCACCCTCTAGGGCCTCTGCTCTCCAGCAGGCGAAGCCACCACAAGGAGAGAAAGGCCACGCACGCCAGGGAAGACAGTGCCCCCCAAATTTAATTACATTCAGGTTTCTTTCTTTAAAAAAAAAACCACTGAAATATTGAGTTTAAAAAGTTAGAATTAAATGCCAGTTTTTCAGGAAGGGCTTCTGTCGGTAAGATACCACCACACTCTGTCACATCAGCAAGAGTAAGAATATTTGCCAGATTAAGTGAATAAAAATAGCTTAATAAACATTGTCTTTTTTTCCCCTTCACTTTTTGGAAGTTGCCGTATGACACCACTGCATTCCGACTGATACCATGTGATCTTTTCTCCACACCCCATCCAGCATTGTTTGTACACATTTTGATGCCAGCCATTTTGAATAGTGAGAACCAGTTCCTCAGTCTGAGGGAGATTTACCAGTTGGTATTGGCAAGCTGACATTCTGCCTTAAAGGAGTTTATTTTCAATCGGACATTTACTGATAACAGGTGTCTATTACAGCCCCGCAGGCTCCTGAAGGCCTGGCGCCCACGGCCGTGGTTTGAAAATTGCTGTTGCAGGAAACGGCCACAAGGTGGCAGGATTTCTCTGCTCAAGTTTGTTTACTCAGGCAACCAGAGCTTTGCTGTAACTCCTGTTCCTGGGTTGAAAGTTAAAAGTGAAAGATGACAGAAGAAACACTCAAAAGCTTGTCTGAAAAAAAAAAAAAAGCTTGTCTGTTGTTACTGCCTGATACTTGTGTTTTTATTGGAGTTCAGTGGCTTTACACGGTGTTGGGTGTAGGGGTACGGCAGCTTTTTCTTCCTGGTAAATAGGGCATTAGTACTGATTTTGTGATTCCACCTATAAGTCATATAATGGCCTTTTGAGTCTCTGACTCCGGTTACTTAATATGATCCTCACTAGTTTCATCCCTACTTGCTGCCAGTGGCATTTATTAAATTCTCCTTTTCTGGCTGTGTACTATTCCGTTGTCCCGAGCTACCATTTTATCTTTACTGCTTCTTGTGTGGACGGGCATATTGTTTGCTTGGCCTCTTTTGGCTTGTATAAATAGCAGCACTGCGGTGAACTTCGGGTTGCGTGTGTCTGTGGCATCACTGCGGTGAACTTTGGGCTCCATGTGTCTGAATTCTGGTTTCTTCCTGATGGACATCCAAGAGTGTGTAGGTCTGATTATTAAAGGACCCCTGCTGTGGCCGTTTCCGCTTTACATTCCCGCCAGTAGAGTAGGCATGAGTATTTCTCCACACCCTGTCTGGCATGTGCTGTTGGTGGATGACTTGGCGATGGCCGCTCTGACTGGTGCTGTCTCGATTCCTCAGGCTTCCCTGGGCTCAGATGGTAAAGAATCTGCCTGCAGTGCAGGAGACTCGGGTTCAATCCCTGGGTTGGGAAGACCTGAAGAAGGGTATGGCTCCCTACTCCAGTATTCTTGCCTGGAGAATTCTATGGTCAGCGGAGAGCCTGGTGGGCTACAGTCCATGGGGTCCCAAAGAACACAACTGAGTGACTAAAAGGTTTTTTGAACTGATTGCTCAGTGTAGTTTTGATTTGCACGTCTCTAGAAATGAGCATATCGAGCCTCTTTCCGTGTGCTGCTTCTAAATACAGTGTGAGGGAGATTTACCCATCAAAAGTGGCATTCTGAGACATCCTGAGACTGACTTTTGATGATTCCACCTTCCCCCTTTAATTACCCCAGGCATTTCTTGATGACAGGTATCATTTACAGCTCTGCAGGCTCTGTGACCATTTAGTGCCCAAGGCCCTGGTTTGCGGGTTACTGTTGCCCAGTCAGTGTGGCCACACGGTGACAGGATTTCTACTCAGGCAACCAGAGCCTTGGTGTAACTCCTGTTCCTGGAAGTGAAAGTGGTAATGGCACCCCACTCCAGTACTCTTGCCTGGAAAATCCCATGGACAGAGGAGCCTGGTAGGCTGTGGTCTATGGGGTCGCAAAGAGTCGGACACGACTGAGCGACTTCACTTTCACTTTTCACTTTCATACATTGGGGGAGGAAATGGCAACTCACTCCAGTGTTCTTGCCTGGAGAATCCCAGGGCCGGCAGAGCCTGGTGGGCCGCCGTCTATGGGGTCACACAGAGTCGGACACGATTAAAGTGACTTAGCAGTAGAGTTGCCAGGATGAGCACCCAAAGCCTTATGTCTTTATTTTTTTCTAATGTAATTTTTATTTATTGAAATAAAGTATTTTTTTAGTAACTTCATTTTTTATTTTTAAAATGAAAAAGATGATCAGTGATAAGAGGTGCTATTCACAAAGAAGATAGACATCAGAAACCATTAGACACGTAACAACAAAGAGACAAAGCAAAACTGAAAAAAAAATAAGGGAAAAGAAAAATAATCATACAGCGAGACATATTAACATTTCTCTGAGCATATTTTATCAAGTGCAGAAAAAAGACTTGGAGCATCTTGAATGATGTCATTAATAATTTAGTTAGAATATATTTCTATTTATATTAAGTTATAGTAATTTTATATCCTAAAATTTATTTAAAATTTTGTATCTTACATGTGACTGTTAGATGTCCACAGAACATTTGGAAAAACTGGTTAAGTTTCAAAAAGTAGAATTCTTTATTTTTGTGTTTCAGTTATTCATATACACACATTATTTTTCAAACTGTTTTCCATAATTATTATACTGACTTTAGTTCCCTATGCTATACAGTAAGCCTTTGTTGCTTGTATATCTAGTATATATGCTGCACAGCTTCTTGCGTATCTATTTTCTAAGTCAAACAAGTGGAATCAAAATGTCATACGCTTTTTAGTTAGGCAGAAATTCATAAGTCTTCTAAAATATATATACTATGCATATTATTTATATTATGCAAAAGCTTTACTACCATGCTTCATAAATGCTTGAGAAAGAACATTAAGCTAAAGAGAGATGGAGAAATTGGAAACCGTAAACTAGATGAAATGGGAGCACTGAATATGAAATAGAAAAAGTGAAACAAACTAGATAAGAGTAAGAGATCCTCACAGTTGTTTTTAAACATTAGAAACATCTGGAGCACTGACAAACATAAAGCAATACCTGGGCATTTGTACTCAAAAAATTCTGAGATAATTCTTACTTGTGCATCTGGATTTTAAGAAGTGATTACAGGTTTTTCTGTTAAATGATAGTTTTGCTGGTACAGGATTCTGTTACTTTTCTATTGGCCAATCATACAATGGTATTAAGTGAGTAATAGTTACATAATCACAGTAGTGAAAGATGTTTATCAGTTTTCACAATCAAAAAATAAAAGATAATTACAAGTATAAGCTGTAATGGGAATATGATTAGCTTAATATAAGATAATTACATACATGGCGGTGGTCAAGGAGAGTGGTGTGGTAAGTGGAAGTGCTTTCATGCTCGTGTTTTCATCCACCCAGCTGGTCTGTGTCTTTTGGTGCATTTAATCCTTTGCATTTCAGGTAATGTATGATCCTATTACCGTTTTAATTGTTTCAGGTTTATTTTCTGTAGGTCTTTTCCTTCTCTTGTGTTTCCTGTCTGGAGAAGTTCCTTTAGCATTTGTTGTAAAGCTGGTTTGGTGGTGCTGAATTCTCTTTAACTTTTTGTTCGTCTGGAAAACTTTTGATTCCTCTCTCGAATCTGAATGAGAGTCTTGCTGGGTAGTGTATTCTTGGTTGTAGGTCCTTCCCTTTCATCACTTCAAATATATCATGCCAGTCCCTGCTGGCTTATTGTTTCTGTTGAGAAATCAGGTGGTAGCCTGATGGGTTGACTATTTCCTTTCCCATTTTAGTGAAGTTTTCAGCTATTATCTCTTCTAATATTTTCTCAGGTCCTTTCTCCCTTCTGGGACCCCTGTAATGGGAACATTGGTATGTTTAATGTTGGCCCATAGGTCACTTATGCTGTCTTCATTTCTTTTCAGTCTTTTTTTCTCCTGCATTCTGTTCTGTGGCAGTGATTTCCACCGTTTTGTCTTCCAGGTCCCCGTTCTTTTGCCTCTTCTGCTACTGATTTCTTCTAGTGTATTGTCTGTCTGTCTGTCTGTCTGTTTTAGGTCTTTGGTAAACAGTTCTTGCCTCTTTTCAATCTTTGCTTCCATTCTTTTTCCAAGATCTTCACTATCATTTTGAATTCTTTTTCTGGAAAGATGCCCATCTCCACTTCATTTACTTGTTTTTCTGGGGTTTTATGTTGTCTCTTCACCTGGGACATAACTTTCTGCGTTTTCATGCTGATTAACTTTCTGTCATGTGGTTTTGTTTAGTCACTGTGGGCCTGTGCTTGCTTCTCTGTCTGCCCTCTGATGGAAGAGGCTGTGACTTATGTAAATTTCCTGATGGAAGGGACTGGTGGTGGGAAAGACTAGGTCTCACTCTGGTGGCAGGGCCTTGGTCTGTAAGTTTTAATCCAGTTATCTGCTGATGGGTGCTCCCAGGGATCGTGCTGCATCCCTGGTAGTTTTTTGGCCTGAGAGCACCCAGCTTTGGGTTGCAGGCTCAGTGGTCAGGTTAGTGGCAACCTCCAAGAGGCTTTATGTCAAAGAAGGACCTTCTCAGACTGGTGCCCCCATCCCTGTGGTGAGCCTCTGTGGACCCACACCTCCACAGGAGGCCCTCCAACATGAGCAGGTAGTTCTGGCTCAGTCTCCTGTGGGGCCACTGCACCTTGCCCCTGAGTCTTGGTTGCACACAAAGTTTTGTTTCTGCCTTCCCAAGACTGGAGTCTCTGTTTCCCCCCAATCCTGTGATCAAATCCCACAGGTCTGCAAGGTCAGATTCCCTGGGGATTGCCAGTCCCTTTGTTGGATATCCAGGCTGGGAAGCCTGATGTGAGGTTCAGAACCTTTACCACAGTGGGAGAACTTCTTTGGTATTATTGTTCTCTAGTCCGAGTCACCCACCCAGCTGGTGTGGGATTTGGTTTCATTGTGATTGTGCCCCTCCTACCCTCTACCATCTCGCCGTGGCGGCTTTGTCTTTGGAGGCGGGGTGTCTTTCGGTAGGTTCCAGCATCCTCTTGTGGCTGGTTCCCCAGCAGCTAGTTGTGATTTTGGTGCTCTTGCAGGAGATGACAGTGTTTGTTGTAGGTGTTGTATTAGTGTGAATCTTAATCCCAAACTCCTAATTTATCTTTTCCCTGATGGTAAGCATGAGTTTGGCTTTTAATTCTGCGAGGGAGGTTGTCCCTGATAAACTCGTGCTACCAACTTTGTGGTTCTACCTATAAGTCATTGTAACAACAGGATGCTCCACATCCTGGTTACTAAGCAACAGGCCTTACTCAGCCATTGGTGGGTACCCCAGTGGGCCCCACCCACAAGCAGCTGTCATTGCAGGACCATTAGGGAAGCGATTCAGCCACGGGTCAGTAGTGTGTGGTCATCATGTGGACCATGAGGCATGAGGCAGATTCAGGCCTTCTCATAGAGCCCCTCCGACTCCCCATCCTTGGGCCAGCAAGTGAGCGCGAGGGCCCAGGGGACAGACTGGGGACTGTGTCCTGCAGGGCTCCAGAGCCTTCACTGAGGCTTTGGCCCTGGCCTTGAGGCAGCAGTGAACCTCTCCCTCATCCCTGTTTCTGTGACCTAATGCCAGTGGCCATCTGCCTGGGTTGCAGTCTGTGGGACCTAGACCTCCCTCAGCTTTTGTGTGGCCTGAGGAGACAGGGCCAGTTGGATTGGGTGCCTGGTTCCCTCGGGGATGACAGCTGGGCAGGATGTGGAGGCCTGGCCCCGAAGGAGCTGCCAACTGAGATTTGCCACCTCTTAGCCAGGACTGGGACCTTGCCCTTTCTTGTCAAGACAAAAGAGTAACATTCATTTGGTGGAGATTTACAGGAACATTGTTACCTGACCATGACCAGGCCTCAAAAACAAAGGATCTGACACCAAGAAGTTTGCAACATCTAACCACACCTCTCCCTCACTTTTTGCTTTTGCTGAAAGCTTTCAGTGACTTTAGGTGTTCTTAGGGCATGCGCCATCCATCTCCTTGTATGAACCTGTAATAAACCTTTCTCTGTTCCAAACTGTAATGGTTAGTATGATTGGTCTCACTTGGCATTGGGCAAACAGGCTTGTGCCTCAGTAACAAGATGATGTTGGCCTGTTGTGTCTGACTCGTTCATTTAGTGTGATCCTCACTAGGTTCATCCAGGCTTGCTGCCAGTGGCATTTATTAAATTCTCGTTTCTGACTAATATTCCACTGTCCCTGGATGCCATTTCTTTCTCCTTTGCCTTGCTGCTGTGGGTGGGCATTTTGGCTGCAGTGAACTCTGGGGTGCATGTGTCTTTGAATTCTGGTTTCTTCCTGGTAAGACACCCAGGAGTGGGGTGGCAGGGTCTTCGGGTAGCTCTGTTTCTGCTTTACTAAGGAACCCTCAGTTTACAATCCTACAACTTTAATCCACACTCTGTCCAGCGTTTATTGTTTGTAGATGTGGGTGGTGGCCATCCTGACAGGTGCTAAGGGATTTCTCAGTGTAGCTTTGATTTGCATGTCTCTGCAAAGTAGCAATATTGAGCCTCTTTTCATGTGTTTTTTTTAAACACAGTGTGAGGGAGATTAAACCGTTGAAATTGGCATCCTGAGACTCTTGCTTCTCTTTTTCCCCACCCAACGCACACATTTCCTGATGGCAGGTGTCATTTACAGCCCTGCAGGCCCTGTGAATACTAGGCGCCCAGGGGCCTGGTTTCCAGGTTGCTGTTGGCCCGAAATGGCCACATGGTGGCAGGGTTTTGTGGAAGTGCCAGAAGGAACACTCCAGATCTCCTTTCACATTACAGCTTGTTTTTTATTTTCTAAGTTTCTTTTTTTTTTAATGCTTATGTGTTCATTTGTTTGGTCGCATTGCCCTGGTTCTCAGTTGCAATCTCCAGGGTCTTTGACCCTTGTTGCCCCATGGGGTGTCTTAGATGTAGCACGTGGGATCCCATGGCGTGTTTTAGATGTAGCTTGTGGGATCCAGTCCCTTGACCAGGAAAGTTCTGAATTTTATTTTTTATTGGAATAAAGTTGATTTACAACACTGTGTTTGTTGTAGGTGTACAATGTCATGTCCAGTTATGTGCGTGTGTCACCATCTTCAGATCTGTTTCCGTGGGATTAACATACACACACTAACATGTAAAACTGACAGGCAACGAGACCTACGCCTGTCAGTTTTACATATGTTGGTGTGTGTATGTTAATCCCAAGCTGTGGCTTTGATCCTAGGCCTCAGCTGTAGTTTCAGTCCCCCCCTGTTTTCTGGCAACCTGCTGGTGTCTGCCTCTGGGTTCAGCGAGGCCAAGGTTGCACCTGGAGCTCGTGAGGAAAGGCAGGGGCTGCCCTGGCGACCTTGCCTCTTCTCGTGCCGTGCACAGCAGCACTTCCTTCTCACGCAGGCCCGCCCTTCCCCTAGCACACCCCTCTGCAGCAGGACTGCGCTCTGTCCTCAGTGTGTGTGCCCCCGCCACCACCAGTCTTGCCTGGCATCTCCTCTGAGCGCAGCACTCAGCGCTCACCTGGACTCACGTGGACACGCGTCTCAGGCTGCACTGCAGGGCGATGGCACAGACCGTCTGCGGGTCTCTCTGTCCCGCCTCCCACAAACCGGTCATCTTCGTACTGAGCTGCTGAACCTCCCTTTTTGTTCCAGTTAATACCCCTGCCAGTGAGGAAATGTCAGGGTAGCAGGAAACGTTTCCTCTTTCTCAGCTACCTCCCAAGAGTACTGCTGGTCCCGCCCCACTTGCTCTGTTTTGCCTCTTCCAGCCCTGTCCTGTGGCGCGCTTTCTTGCCCTTTCAGGTGCTCTAGGTGTTCTGCTGTACGTACAGATGGACCTTTATACATGTACAAATATGTAAGTGTATTTTTATTGTAGTTGTCGGAGGGGGTGAGTTCTCAATTCTCATTTTACTCAGTTGTCGTGATTAGGCCTCCTTGCAAGAGGTGTTTTAACTGGGATTTATTCCCCTTGTGGCGGGCTTAATCACTGGAATTCTTTGGTGAGACACATGGTTGATGTTTTAATCACTGCTGTAGAATGAGCTCAGTGACCAGTCTGTGCTTCCATCAAGGAAAATTTACTACCTAGATTACAGAAGTGCTCTGGTGGTCAGATTCTACATTGTGTGTTTTGATTTTGTGTCATTTTTTTAGCCTCATGAGGAATTTGGACATATAGGAGTCACTAGCCTCAGTTACTCCTAAGTGGTACTTGAACCAGGCCGGTTTGCTGCGGAGCCAGCAGAAGAAAGGATGTAGTGAGCATCAGATAACCTGAGGGAAGAGCATCCCCAGCAGAGGGCCTGGGTGTGGGGCCATGCTTAGCGTGTTTTTCTTTTTGTTCTGATGTTTCCAGGCAATAAGTGGAAGATGGAGAACAATCTGCCTACAATGCAGGAGACCCCCGGGGTTGATCCTTGGGTTAGGAAGATCCCTGGAAGAAGGGGATGGCAACCCACTCAGTATTCTTGCCTGGAGAAGTCCAGACAGAGGAGCCTAGCAGGCTAGAGTCGGGCACAACTGTGTGACTAACACTTTGATTTTTCATAGAAGAATTAACTACTAGATGTTTTGAGGAAGGATTTGGGGGAGTTGCCTGCTAGATAGCTAGCTTGGTGACATAGCAAACTTGGTGCTCCATGTATCATTGCAGGGCTCCTGTGGCACCGTCTTTGGGACACTTGTTAACTCTTTCTGTTGCTTCTTCCAGCGAGCTGTGCTGAAGTTTGCGGCTGCTACTGGGGCCACTCCTATCGCTGGCCGCTTCACTCCGGGAACCTTCACTAACCAGATCCAGGCCGCGTTTAGGGAGCCAAGGCTTCTGGTGGTTACCGATCCCAGGGCTGACCACCAGCCCCTCACAGAAGCCTCTTATGTTAACCTGCCCACCATTGCTCTGTGTAACACAGACTCTCCTCTGCGCTACGTGGACATTGCCATCCCATGCAACAACAAGGTAACAAGTTTGTGACAGCACTGGAGCTGGCTGCTAAGTGCTCCAGCCACGGACCTCCCCCTGCACATTGTTAGAGCTTGGAGTTGAGGCTGCTGGCCGATGGACTCACAAGTGTAGGTAGTGTGCTACACGAGGGGCAAGTGTTTCGCTAACACCACAAGGGTCTCTGGCCCAATGAGTGGAGTTGGATAGTAATACTTGCTACAAAACTATGATTTTAAGGAATGAGAGCTTATTTAAGGAGAGATGAAAACATTTAAAAAGTAGCTTTTTTTCTCTTCAATATTCCTAACTCTTCAGGAAGTACTTGACTTTTCTGTTTTCTCAGTTGATGTATCCTGCTCTGAGATCCTAAAAAGGTGGGTTACGTATGGTTCAAATTGATCATTTATCACTGATCTCAAACCTGGTTACACATAAGAATGGGGCAGAGGTTTTCTTTTATTTCTACCAGTATTCAGGCACTGACTCCATTTTGTTGTGTAGAGTGGCGTCTTAATTAAACCCCATGATTCCAGTGGCAGACAAGATTAAGAACCAGAGATAGAGAACAATCTTGGTACAAACTTACAGTCGTTTTAATTGGAGTACAATTGTAAGTGTTGTGTTAGTTTCTGCTGTCCTACACACACTTTCAAACCTAACAGCCATGTGTGCTCACCTGGTACTATGGGACCTAGGTGATGAGGGAACGGGTTAGTTGGAGACTGTTTGGGGTTTGCCAAGTATCACTTTACTAACCTGGCGCTCTTGCAGGGAGCGCACTCAGTAGGTCTGATGTGGTGGATGCTCGCCCGGGAAGTTCTGCGCATGCGTGGCACCATCTCCCGAGAACACCCATGGGAGGTCATGCCGGATCTCTACTTCTACAGAGATCCTGAAGAGGTGAGCTTTGTCCACAAAGCCCTGTTGTCACTCACATAAGTACATACACCTGGATACTTTCTACTGCCAAGAACAAAAACTAATCTGTCATTGCATATAAACTAAAAATATTTTCCTCAACTAGATTGAGAAAGAAGAGCAGGCAGCAGCTGAGAAGGCTGTGACCAAGGAGGAGTTTCAGGGAGAATGGACTGCTCCAGCCCCAGAGTTCACCGCCACTCAGCCCGAGGTGGCAGACTGGTCCGAGGGCGTGCAGGTGCCTTCCGTGCCGATTCAGCAGTTCCCCACGGGTATGCATCGAGATCCAAGGCACCCGGCCTAATGTGTCTGTAGGAATACAAGCAGATTGGTGGGGTGGGATTACAAAATTAATCTGGGGGTGTGGCTGATGACCCTCTTATTTTCTCAACAGAAGACTGGAGTGCTCAGCCTTCCACTGAAGACTGGTCTGCAGCTCCCACCGCTCAAGCCACTGAATGGGTAGGAACCACCACTGAGTGGTCGTAAGCTGTTCTTCAACAGACTTCCACCAAAATGGAAAATAAACTGTTTCTAAAAATTGTGTTCATTTATTTCAGTCTATGGGATGGACCCATCTGGTATGAAAGCCTTGCTCAGCCTAGTGTGTGGCTCTAGGGGCAGGAGATGTTTCTGGGCCCAGGTGTCCTCCTCAGCAGAGGGTAGTATTCATGGGGCTGTGATTCAGAGCAGCTGGTCCTGAGTCTGGGCATGTGGCCAGTGCTCATTCTGTCGTTCCTTAGTGTATAATTTTAAGATAGTTTTAAATAGTAAAATATGTCATGCATATAGTTGATCTAATAGACATACCTGTGTATTGGAGAATAAAGGTCAAGTTAAAGCCTCTGAAGCCAATTAAACAGGTTGCCAAGTACAAGGTGCCAAGACTGGGAAAGTCTGTTCTCGTTGCTGCCTTCTGAAGTCATGAGCTCTGCTCTGCCATTCTCTGATAAAGGTAAAGTGATTCAATCAATCAGGAATTCTTCAGTTTGTTTTGAGCAGCGTATAAATGGAATCATATTTTCTATGGCTTGCTTGTTTGCATGTTTCGGCCATTACCAGCAGAGATTCTCTGAACATTTTTTACAGATCCTGGTGCACAGGAATTTCCTCACTCTAGGTTCACAATCACCAATAGAAATCCTCTGAAAACACAGCCACAGTCTTTAGCACTTTCTATAGAAAGCGCTGTTCGTCCTTCACAGCTCAAAACTGCAGGGTCTGATGTGGCCGCCTCTTCCCACTGCTCTTCTGTGTCTGCGCTGAGGCCAGCGCCACCCTGTCCTTCCCTCTTTCCTGGGGTTTCTACTCCACTGTGGCCCCGGCCTCTCCTGCTGTCTCGGTTATTAACTGCTGAGCCTTCTACACTATCACACACGTTAACCTAGTGCAGCTGCATTGCATTGCTATGATTTAGCACAGAACTGATTCACAGCATTGAGAGTTTTTCAGCATTATTCAGAGAGGTTTGTATATCTTTGGTAAATGTGTGCCTATATTCTTGGGATATTTTAAATTACACTTTCATAACTAGTGATCCTTTTAGATCCCTAACTAACTAACACAGGCAGGCAGTGGTAAGTGGCACCGCGGCCATAGTGTTTCTGACCCTCCTGAGCAGTCCACATTTTGCACAAGGCAAGGGCTATATTACCAAATTCTGTCTATGAAAAATATGTTGCAAACCTACATTGAGCTCATTTACTAATGGAGAACCTTCTGGACACCTCCCTGTGCCGAGTTCAGTGGGCTTCGCTTAAGAATAACCTGAGAATTACCCTGTTCTGCCTCTCGAGGTAATTTAGCAGTTAACAAATCTAGCATACCATTCTTTATTGTATCAGAAGTGAGGATGTAAACATGAAGGTTTGTCTAAAACGCCAGTGTCCAGCTATAGGAGGGAGAGACTCATTCGGGAGAAGCTCTCCTGGGGACTTGGGACCCTTTATCAGAGCCCGTGGAGTCCTGTGGAGCCCAGGCTGTGAAGTAGACGGCCACTGCCCAGCAATTTCCCCGCTTCTGAAGATGGACTAGGGACCAGGGGAGACAGCCTGCATCCCACCTTGTTCCCACATCTGCCCCACGTCCCCACGGTCCACACCAGTGCAGGCAACTCTCACTGCTGAAGTGTCACCACCGTGTCCCAGCTGGGAGCCCTCTGCCACCTCAGCACCCTGCTCGCTCTCTCCACCAATTCCTAATGCCAGCCCAAGGACTGTATTCCATTTACAGTTTTCAGCATGAGAAAGCAGCCCTCCAGGCCATCATGGCCACAAGAAAGATTCTGCACAAGGGCCTCAAGCTGGTGTGATACTTGTTTCAAAATCCCTTTGGGAAGATTGTTTCTTTCTTTAGTGTTTTCATAAAGAAATCTATTGTAAATAGTTTTTGAAACAATGTCTAAAGGTTAATACTGTAATTGCTTTTGTAATTTAGAAATAAAAAATAGCTTACAATATAACAGGGCAGAAGAAAGACTGTTGGAGAGGAAATTGAACTGGAAAAACAGAATTGACTTGGACAGAACTTAGGAAAGAGCAGTTAAAATATACACAAACATCTAGTTGAAATTGATACATGGAGGAGGAAAGTCAGCATCAAAGAGAAAGGCTTGAGAATTAATTTCTTACAAATCAATACAAGGACATTCTGTCTGAGCTCAGTACACTCAGCCAGACATTTCTGTAGGACCAAGTCATGCAGCTATGGGCTGTGCATCTGAAGAGGCAGTAAAACACTTTTTATCCTTGAAAAGCTAACAAAATGCTTGGGTAGGATTAAAGGTGTTTTGCAAACGTACCATAAATACCGTAAAGGTTTTGGTAACCATACCTCCATACAAGAACTACACTGGCTGGTCAGCAGGCTTCGTGTGTGCTCATTGTGTCCAGCTCTGACCCCACAGACAGTAGCAGCCCCCCACGCTCTGACTGGGGTTGTGCAGGCAAGAGTGCTGGTGGATTGCCATGCCTTCCTCCAGGGGACCTTCCTGACACAGAAATTGAACGTGGGGGGAAATACCAGGGGGTATTTCCGAGATTGGCAGGTGGATCCTTTAGCACTAGTGCCACCTGGGAAGCCAATTAGTGCATCGTGGCATTATTGAGTAACCATCCCTAACACCCTCGTGAAGTGAAAGTTGTGTCTAACTTTGCAACTCCATGGGCTGTACAGTCCATGGAATTCTCCGGGCCAGAATACTGGAGTGGGTAGCCTTTCTCTTCTCCAGGGGATCTTCCCAACCCAGGGCTCCTGCATTGCAGGCAGATTCTTGAACAGCTGAGCCACAGGGAAGCCCGACACCCTCTTAGGGGTGTGTATCAAAAGACCCGTGCCCACATGCACTAGGATATGTGGACAGAATGCTAATTAATATGCTACTGGTGGAAATGTAAACTGATAGTATCTGCTATATATAACATTACAGAGCTTTCAGTTTATCCCAATCCTGGGTAAAACTGGAATTGAAGAGAGACATGTCCCACCATTCTGCAACACTATTTACTTAAGCCAAAGGAGGGAAGCAGCCACAATGCCCATGGACAGAGGAAGGGTAAGAAATGGTACCTGGATACAGTGGAATATTACTCAGAACGAAATAATGCCACACCCAGATGGACCTAGAGGATCACAGTAAATGAACTGAGAGATCAGCATCAAAAGGTGTTTATAAGTAGGATCTGAACAGTGCTAGTAATGAACTAGTTCACCAAGGAGAAACACAAACTTTTGGTTACCGTAGGGTAAATCAGGAGTTTAGGATCAACAGGTACACAAGCCTGGCATGCTGCAGTCCATGGGGTGCAGAGTTGGGCACAATTTAGCAACTGAACAAAAACACTGAATACATATAAAGTTGGTAAGAACCTGTGTACCACAAGGAACTTGATTCTACACTCAACCTACATGGGGAGGGAATCTGAAGGGGAAGTGATAATATGTATAAATGGACAAGATGGTGTACGTATACAACCGGCACCATAAAGTGACAACTCCATTTAAAATAAGGAAATAGAAAGTAATGAGACACAAGTTTTGGGGTATTTCCTTTCTGCCTAGGAACATGACTCACTAAGACTGGTCTCTAGAGTAACCAGCTGAGGCTAGGAAGAAATCCTGCCCCCTTGTGGCTCTTTTGGGTAGCAGCAACTTTTAAAAACCTGTACCCTGGACACGTAATATTCACAGGGCCTCTAGGGCTGTAAATGACACCTGCCCTGGAGTAGGTGATTAGAAAAGTGGAAAAAGAAAAAATTCAAATGGGGCACAGTGCCAGGAAGCCACTTTCGACAGGGAAATTTCCCTCACTTTTTAATTAAACCATTTTGTACTGGGATATAGCTGATTAACAGTGTTAGCGTTTCAGGTAGAAGGTGAAGGGGCTCAGCCATACATACACGTGTGTCCGTCCCCCACAGGCCCCCACCCGGCTGCAGCAGGACGCAGCGGGCTCCCTGCGCTGCACGGCAGCTCCTTGGTGGTTACCCGTGTCAAATTCAGCGCCATGGACACGGCCTTCCCGAACTCGAGCCCTGCCCCATTCTGCCCCTGCAACCAAAAGTTCATTTTCTGTCACTATTAGAAGCAGCGTATGAAAAGGGGCTCGATCGGTAATTATTAGTATCAGGGACATGCAGATCAAAACTGTAGCCAGGAATCACCTCTTGCCAGTCAGAAGGGCCATCATCAAGCAGTCCACAAATAGGACTTCCCTGGTGGCGCAGTGGATAAGGATCCACCTGCCAGTACAGGGGGACACAGGTTCGATTCCTGGTCCGTGAAGATTCCATATGCCACAGAGCCAACTAAGCCTACACACCACAACTGAGCCTGTTTTCTAGAGCTTGCGAGACACACCTAAGGAGCCCGCCTGCCCTAGAGCCCATGCTCCACAACAAGAGAAGTCACAGCAATGAGAAGCCCGTGCCCCACAACTAGAGGGTAGCCCCCACTCTGCAACTAGAGAAAAACCCATACACAGCAATGAAGACCCAGCATAGCCAAAAGTCTACAAGCAATAAGTGATAGAGGATTTGGAGAAAACGAATGCTCCTACGCTGGTTCTGGGAAGGTACACTGTTGGCAGTCCATGGAGAACACACTACAGAGCTCTAAAAACAGCTACCCTGTGATCTATCTGTTCCACTCCTGGGTGACTCCAGGAGGAAAAGCAGAATTCAAAAAGACAGATTCAACTCCCCATTCAGCACAGCAGTAATTTACACAAGCCTAACCACCATGTCCATGAACAGAAGAATGGTACCTAGACATAATGGGATGCTGCTCAGGCAGAAAAGAGTGAAATAATGCCACCGGCAGCAGCCTGGATGGATCTCGAGAGGATCATAGCGAAATGAGTCAGAGAGAAAGACCAGTGTCATAAGATATCATTTATAAGTGATACCTGATCATTGGTAGTAATGAACTAGTTTACCAAGGAGAAACTCACTTGCAGAATTAAAGCACAAACTTCTGGTTATCCTAGGGGA